TTTTTGTCGGTGTTGTGTTCTGATTTTGAAATTGGTGATGCTTCACAAAGGAAAGGACCAATGCATTCCCCTCTGCTTTTGTATGCTCATCTCAGATTCGACAACGGTAAGCATGAAGAGCCATGGAGAGAGATCAGTGTTTTAGAAATTTGATGGCCATGGGAAAGTGCTAGGGTTGCTGTGCAATTTACTCCTGTTCGCATAACTTTTTGGATTACATTTTTATGCTAGCAGCAGAGGAGGCCAAGGCTTCTGCCCTTGCTGCGGGGCATAGGCAAGAAAAGAGGCTGCTGTTGCGTCAGTAGATGGCTTGACGATCAAAGTCAAGGAAGTGGGTATTAATAATTTCACCAAAGCATTATCAGGACGAGGACTGGGAATGGGATCTTTTGCTTCAAAGGTGGGCACTGTCAAGGGAGGTGAGAGCCAATTCAAAAGTGTCAAGAAATGCAAAACTTGAAGAAGAGATAGTTAGTGTGAAATCTATTGATGAAACTTGAAAAAGAGATGGTCAGTATGATTCTCCGCGAAAGCCTGCCTCGAAGTCGCCACGAAACTTTTTCGGTAACATTTTCAAGCTGGACGCATTCTTTGTTCAATAGCTTAGTGTAGCAGAGATACGTTTGAATTTACTGAAACAGTGTTGTGGGTCATCTACGAAGGCTGGATTTACCACAGGATTAAGTCGTGCCTTGGGAATCTATGCGAGGGTGGCGGCTTGCAGGCATGTTTTACTTTTTAATCGGGTTGTGTCATCTCATGGAATGTAATTGCGTCACTCAAATGACGTATCTCGCGTGTCCCCAAATTGTACACTACAGCGAAAGGTGCCAAACTGCATTATTTTTGTTCTAAACCTCTTCAAAAGGGGTTATTTTGGGCCTCACAATAAGCCGATTCTAAGGTTACCATGTACACAACTTTTCGGGATTTATCCATGGTGACTTTGTGCTGACTGCCAAGATGCAAAAGAATATAGCTTCGTCAATGCCTTCTGTTACACCAACGTCTTTGTTGCTGGCATCGTCGTCGTGAAATAGACTGTTTAGGAAAAAAATTAATGCAGTGAAAGTGAAATTATCATTACTTTACTTTGAAAGCGTGGATCACTACAGGTTCTTTTGATAGTCCCAATTACTGCACACTAATTTTCTTATGTGTTACTTGCGTGTTCAATTTGTGAATGAAGGAGATTTCTTTGATGTTAGGCTGATTCAGTTACGTCATTTCAGTTTTTAATTTCCATCGCAAGTTGCTCCCATCACAAAAAAAACAGAAAGCTCTGTGAGTACACCTCGTCAGGAGTGAGCAGAGGCGATTGCTCAGATTTAATCGAATAAAACTGGGCTCAAAATCGTCACCTTATCATCCTCTAACTCCAGGTGCTATATCATTGTTGCAACAAAACCGTGGAGCACCCGCTAATTAACTAGTGCCTGTGATGGATCCATGTTGGAGAGATGGAAAGAGTGTGAGGGTTCAAAAACAATGTCTGCAGGGTCTCCGCGATCGCTTGCTTCCATAGAAGCGATGTCGTAAGGAGCTTTTGGGAGAAGGATTCTGCTGCAGTACCCCAGTTGAGACTGGTTTGTACAATGCCGAACCAAACACAGCTTAGTGGAAACCAAAATGCATGTTGGTTAGTACAATCCATTTTTGAAACAGGTAAACTAACTAATATCACTTTTGAAGATGTGATATATATATTACCCACTTGATCTTCAAAAATAATTCTTATACATATAATATATATTTTTTGAAAGTTACTAAATCTTGCTTTGATTATCAACTACAATAATAAGTCCAAGGTTGAATGTATACAATACCATATTGACCAAATTTAAGATAAAAAATTTTAAATTAAAGGAATTGAACTATAATTTTTAGCAATTGTATAATCTTCATAATTTATAAAATAGTAGTATTTCATTGTAAAACTTCCAAATATTCAATGAATATTCAAATATTTAATTTGATGATTCTACTAAGTCTAAAAAAATAAAAAAATAACTATTGTAATTTGCAACATATGTTTGTCTAAATAAAATAAAAATAATAAAAATGTAATTAAAGATCTAAAATTAAATTAATAAAATTATATCTCATTAATGCCTAGGTATTTATCAAATAATATTAACAAATTAAGCAACTTTAAACTTATATTATAATATCAACTTTCCACAACCATTACATAAGTTTTTTAGGGAATTGTTAAATTGAACTAGACATTTACTAAATGAACGGATCCATCAATATTGCTTGAGGATGCAACCATTGGAATCCAGCAATGAATTTCTCAGTCGGTCAGAATTATTAGGTCTATTTCAGTCACTTTTAAATTGAGTGTGAGAAGGAGACAACGGGAGATTTGTCGTGTGTAAAGTGTTCGGCTCATCGGAATCGCTTGTCTCCTTTCGGATTTGGCTCTGGAATTAAAGGTTTTTATTTACTTTTGTTGTATTGTCGCACTCTTGTTTTAGATGGGTTATCAGATTGCTTATTTTTAAGGATGGCTTCGTAATGGGTGTTCTATTTGCTCTTTGTTTGATCGAGTGGTTCTTCGTCTCTGAATAATGTGGAACACGCTTTGATTATGCTTGTGAACAAAAAAATTCTGTTTCATAATTTTCCTAGCAGAGTCGCGTACACAGGATCTTGTTGCAATTTGTTTTTTGTTATGAATGAAGGTTCCCCCCCCCCTCCACACGTGTGAATTTTAGGAATGTGTATCTTTAGAGTACTATTAAACGTGACGAAATTTTCGCTGATGGACAACGGTAACTTTTGGCGAAGGTTTCCAGTTGCCCTGGGGTACTTCCGTTTTGCCTTTGCCCTCTAGGGGGCACTAATATATATATATATATATACATAGAAATATTGAATATCAATTAGAATCTCTGTCAAGCAGATGTTTCTCTATTTATAAACACTGAAAGCGTTCTAAATAAAGTACCATAGTGAATTTCTAGTCAAGCAGTTAGTCCCATATTATTCTTGTAGTGTCCTAAAAAAAACTTTTGATTACCACAATGTAGCAGCAAATACTCATCTACAAACTTATATTCGTGAGCGAAGTAAATATCTTAAGATGTACAATTTTTATTCTATTCATATATAACTTTTTATTTCATTTTTCTAAGAAAAAATCTTCAAGATGTTTTAAATAGATATACTAGTTAGTTAATTTTGAGTTTGTTGTATCAATTCTTAAACCATCTTACTATTGCTATCAATTTTTAATTTTATGTAAGAAAAGTGATTTCCATGTCAAAAAAACAGCTGGTGTGGTTCTTGCATTTTATAGCAAAGAATCGACGCTGGGGAGAGTTGGACAGGTTTTTGCTGCGACGAGCTGCTCAAGCCAATTAGGGCTTGGAAGTAGCATCATCCGATGGATGAATGGTGTTGCGAGAAGCGTTGGAGGGCAAGCAGTGTGGCAACAGAAGCAGCAGCAACAAAGGTTCTTTAGTACCAGAGAAGGATTTACTGTTAAGACAAGAATGTGGCACAATAAAAGTCTTGAAAATATTTGAGACCAACCGCATTAAACATTTGTTACTCACTAGGGAAAAACTGCACCTTTCGAGCAAAAGACCAGTGATTGTTGAAATTCTCCCTTGGTCTTGACTCACACCTACCTAAGCATGTCAAAATAGCAATAATATTTCAAATAATTTTCATTGTAACGACTCCAGACTAACAGCAAAGGGACTGAATAGGGTTGTTCAATTGGGAGAAAATGAGATTATTCACAAGCGACTGACCTGAAATTGCTTCATTCAGCAAACCACCGTACAGATCCTTTGAACTTGAATGATTAAATGCTCTCAGAGGGAGAATTCAGAGAACAAGTAGGGGACTGAGGCGCTGAACGAGTAACTCTGCAAGTGCGTCTTTGTTTTTAGAGATATTAGGGAGTACTTCCTCAGTTATTGTTTGACATGGAAACAGAGCCTGCCACGGCCAGCTGAAGCGCGTGTGCTACAATTGCGAGGAGCAGCAGCAACAGAAGAGTGAGGGGGACCAGTCTTCCTTTCTCTGGCGCGGGTCCCGGTCCCACCTCACGTGTGCAGCATTCACACCAGCACAACGCACACGCCTCTTTGCTTCGAGCCCCCTTCAGGCAGATTCATTGGGCCCCCACGGCGAGGATTCCCACAGACATTCACCGCTATCCCGGCGATTGGTAATGCTCGGCGCACCGTCTTGGGCACGAGATTCGATAATCACAAGACGGGTGCATCGAATGTCCAGGCCATGATCCAGAGAGCCTGTGAATGGCCCTATTCTCACGCGCCGGGCCAACCATGCCATGGATGACCTGCAGGCACTCCAACCGCAAGACCCGCATCCGGCAGCTGCCGCCTGTCTAGCAGGAGGCTCAAACACGCGACACGACGAGGCAGTCGGGGACGCAGCCCGCGGAGCGCCCCGGTCCTGGAAGGGTTTGAGAACATGGCCTGGGCCGCCTCTGGTGGTGATCGCGATCGGTGAAGAGTGCGTCGCGAGTGCGTTGTAGGTCGCAGGATGCACACGTGGTCGGGGTTGATCCGATTGATGAGCTCGGTTGCTGTACAGCCCAGTAAAAGACCTGGTTCCGGACGCACACGGCCAACAGCCAGCGGTGGCGGAAATTTTGAAAAGGAAGGAGGCGGCTCCTGTGATGCAATTGGGCGGTAAAATTCTGCAGGTGCAGGCAGTGGAGCACTGGGGTAGGTTCGAGCCCCGGTTTGGTTGAGTCCAGGGCGACAAGCGAGTGGAAGAAGGTGAGGTTTCCGTCGCTGCAAATGCTGGACTCCATGTCGGGTGCGCGTGGACGCTTGTACACTTGGGGTGCACCTTGGAGTTTGCGCGGTTTGCGCGCGCGAACTTGGATGCGCAAGGGCAGAGCGGGGGGGGAGGGGGAGGGGGCAAAGTATAGTATAAAGTAGGGTGATCATGGAGAACGTGCACCACCGGTGGGTCTAGTGTTGCGTCGGCAACCGAAGAGGGATGTAGTGGCCGTCCTAGCTCAGTTGGTAGAGCGCAAGGCTCTTAACCTTGTGGTCCAGGGTTCGAGCCCCTGGGGTGGCGCGGTACAACTAATCCCGTCGGCCCGTGGATCCTTATAAATTCCCTCTTTCTATTTTCTCCTCCCCTTTGTTGCCCTTTCTTGTCAGGGAGGGGACCGGGACCCGCGCGGAGGCAGGGAAAAGAGAGGGGCATTTCGGATCAAGAAGGTTGCACGCTTCTGTAAAGAACCTGTGCAAAACTCAACATCTCGTGGTAGGGAGGTCCTCCATCCGGATTGAATGTGACAGTACATGAAATCATGTAGACTAACGAGCGCGAGCTAGTTCCTCTTCGGGCGTGAGGGCGGGTAGCAGAATCCAGTCACGGGATTGAAGGGAGGATCGGAGGGATCAAGGGGAGCTGGAATGGGAATGAAACCTCTGTCCCTGATGGTTTTGATGCACTGATAGCACTATGCTACAACAGCAGCACAAGTGGTGAAACCGCCGACCGGAATGCGGAGCGTCCAAACCAGTTTGTATGCTAACGGCATGGCCACATCGCGGATGACACGGATGATGGGGACGTCGGCGACCAACTTGCGCAAGAACTTAACGATGGGGCCCATGCCTAACACTGCTGGTAAGAAGCGGATGTCGGTAAATCTTTTGTCGCCCTTGAGCAGTTTGTCAAGAAGTTCCACGTGTTTGAAGTTAACATTGTTCCAGCAGCATTGAGGCTCACTCCATTGATGAAAATGTTCTCATCGGCGCACACGGTAACTGATTTGCTTTTGCAAAAAATGTGCCGATGTGGGGCGTTCTGGAGTCACTTTTGGACAGAAACTCACTCTGGGTTGTATTGTGCACCCGCCTCTGCTTCCATCATGTGTTCGTGTTCGTGGTTATCCTTTGTAATGACAAACCAGATGTAGAAGTTGTGAATGCGGACAAGACGCCTAGCGAGCTGCAGGTGAGATGTGGCATGACCTTGTGCGGGGTGTTGTTTCTTACGATGGGCCCAAGGATTTTGTGCCGTGACATGGTGACGTTCTTTCATCAGAACATGGCGAGTCAGGAAAAGAACTTGAAGAGGACAATCTTGATCAAACACAGTTGTCCATCCGTTTCTCTGCTGTCACGGCGAACAATTTTTAAGGAGTGACTAGCTTGTAAATTGTGACGTATTTATGTGCTTACTCAGAACTTGAATCTATATGATCTGTTTCTCCCGAGATTTATGTTATTGCCAAAAAGACCTCGTCAGAATCCAACTGGAGAGGTGGACCAAGGATGACATCTGCTTCTGGCAAGTATCGACAGCCGGAGGATCATCCCCGGAGCAATGCGAATAACTAGTACAGAATTCGATTTGGTGACTTGATCACTTAACACTCGGGCACTACCCTTTGTGAAGGCAAAGAGGGCTCGCCGACCTTGAGATGAACTCATCAAGTGTAAGTAAGTGTCTTACCAATGGAAGATTAGCATGCAAGACTCATCAGATCATGCGTCTCTCTGTAGCAGGTAAAGTGAAAGATGCAGCCATGTTCTCTTCTCACACTCAATACGAAATTCCGCAAGGTCCTATCCCAATCAAGTGTGCTTGCCTAACTTATAAGGTGGGCTAGGATATATAACCGTGGAAGTCGACAAACAAGGCCCAACATCTACGGTTACATCCTGATGAAGCAGCTTGTGCTTTGAAGCTTCATGTGGATGTCAGGCATTCGCACAGAAATCACAATAGTTCTGCAGCCGATTTAAACAGTCACCGTCAGTGCAGAGCTAAGTGAACATCTATTTACGAATTCATACATGAGTGTTGATAAATTGAATTTTACAATGGACCCTCAGAACCATCGTGCGCAGGATTCTGCTGTTAACATCCAATATAGGTGTTGACACATTTTTAGCCCCTGTTCTATTATTACTCTAGTATGGTGTGCGCCAGCACTATATGAGCTGCCACGTTACGTTTTCTTGTTGTCCGCCTGGATTAGATCTTGCTTGGCGGTTACTGTTCATTGGTACCTAAACAACCTTGTTCTCAGAGTTAAACAAGTGAAATAAAATCTAGTTTAGTGTTTGGTTATAATTCTTCAAGGTATCAGAGCTGTGCAGTAGTCTCAAAGTAAGTAGAACATGTAGCATCCCAAGCACACTGAGTATTCAGTAGCATATGCACGAAGAACCTTATGTGTATCACTTTGTGAGTTAGATATAACAAAATGGAGACCCTAGATATTGTGATATATGCTAGGTCCTCCAACAAACTACAAGTTGTGGAAAACCACTATGGAGCATGGTTTTGAAAAGGAAGACCTGTAAGACTGCATTGAAAGTGAAGATGAAGAAAATGTGAATGGCCACACATCAAGAACAAGCAACTAAGAGGAATTTGGAGTAGATGGAAGAGGCGGATAAACAACCAACAAAAAGAATCCACATTCCAACATGTCAAGAACTAGAGACTTAGTCCAAGAAGAAGAAAAGAGCTCTTGGCATTATTAAGGTAATCATTAATAGAGGGGCCACAAGATTGTATTGTTGATTTGAAAGATCTCAAGGAAGCATGGAAGAAAGTGAAGGATTTGTACCAAACTCACATTTTGGCCAACATATCATGGTACTTTGAAACAAGAGATCAGTGACACAAATGGCAGACAATATGGACATGCTTGCATTTATACAATTAATATATGATTTGCTAAAGGAATTGCAAGCAACAGAACAATAGTTTGATGATGCCACAATAATACAAAAAAATCTTATCTACCTTCTATTAAGTTTTGAATAGTTTATTTGTATAATTCAAAACAAAAAAATGATTCCATCCATCTCAAAGTTGTTCAACAAATTATATCTCAAAGAAACTAATCTAAAACTTCAACAAGGATCATCATATGAAGAAGCCTTAGTCATGAAAATTTGGAATTTCATCTAAAGAGGGCATTTTTCAAATCCAAGAGATGGAACATACGACAACTTCTAGAGGCAACCCAAAATATATCAACTCAACTACAACACATGCCTTGACTAAATGGTGTGTCATTACTATAAAAAAATATGACTATTATGGCAATTTATACTATCTCAATACCATTGTTTTCAAACTTTTAGAAACTACATAGAAGATACTCTAAAAGGCAATCTATAAAGGCATACTTTGCAAATGAAGTCACACATGATAGTTCACTATCCTTTGTAAATATATCTGACAAGGAAATTATAAGAATTCTTGTTGTTCTATCAATAAATACATATCAAACTCAAGATTGGGTACTTGATTTAGGAGCATCACAATACTTTGTAAGTGATCCAAAACTATTCTCTAAGCTAGAATTGAATAGCACATAAGGTATAGTAACATCAACCTTGGGCCAAGATCACATGATTCAAAGAATAAAAAATATTAAACTTCTAATGTCCAATGGTGAAATCAAGGCCATTACAAATATTTTTTATATTCAAAGACTTAGTAGAAACGTGCTATCCATTGATCAAATTATTTAATTTGAAAATCTTATATTGTTCAAAAATTCTAAGAGCCTAATTCTGATGTCACAAAAATCGTATAAAACCATAGCAATAGAGAGCAAAGACCCAAGACTTGGCCTCTATAAATTGTCATCTTTCATTAAAAGTCTTGAAGTACCTTTGGGTGCTTGATATACTACCCTACTCTACTTTCAAGTTGAATACAAATAAAAAGATAATAGAAAGCTGAGACTAAGACGTGATCAGTATTGTATAATTTACATTTGGCCTTATCTCTATTTCTAATGAGACTATTTGAAGATGTGGTTTTATTCAAAACATATTCTACACAATTAACATAATTTGAGATAGAAAGTTCTATATCATGTTTAGTTTACTTAGATACATTCTATCTCTAATCATCTCAATAGTTGTGTTTTGAGTTTATTGCAAAAGGGCTTGTGGCATGGCAATGGAAAATCCTTTATCTGGTCATTATTCCAATACATGTCAATAAACTAATTAAGATCACGTTTGAAGATGTGATATGTATATTACCCACTTGACCTTCAAAAATAATTCTTATACATATAATATATATTTTTTGAAAGTTACTAAATCTTGCTTTGATTATCAACCACAATAATAAGTCCAAGGTTGAATGTATACAATACCATATTGACCAAATTTAAGATAAAAAATTTTAAATTAAAGGAATTGAACTATAATTTTTAGCAATTGTATAATCTTCATAATTTATAAAATAGTAGTATTTCATTGTAAAACTTCCAAATATTCAATGAATATTCAAATATTTAATTTGATGATTCTACTAAGTCTAAAAAAATAAAAAAATAACTATTGTAATTTGCAACATATGTTTGTCTAAATAAAATAAAAACAATAAAAATAAAATTAAAGATCTAAAATTAAATTAATAAACTTATATCTCATTTATACCTAGGTATTTATCAAATAATATTAACAAATTAAGCAACTTTAAACTTATATTATAATATCAACTTTCCACAACCATTACATAAGTTTTTTAGGGAATTGTTAAATTGAACTAGACATTTACTAAATGAACTGATTCATCAATATTGCTTGAAGATGCAACCATTGGAATCCAGCAATGGAACTTTTTTGATGATGGTTACAATGGGTGGGTTGATTTAGTAAATATTTGGGTCAAATTTAACAATTTTTTTTTTTTTTTTTTTTAAACTATAATGAAAAATAACCCCATGACAAGAAAAGGCATATTAATATTATCGATATTATGTAATGAAGGCTTTATAAAAGAGATTTGCATCCACAAATCTTTATACAATGCATCTACTAAAGCCAATACTATATAAAATATATTTTATATCAATGAACTTTTCTACTAAAATATTTTCAGCAATTGATACACAATAGTTCACCAAATAATATTTATATACATCTAATTCTTTCTTTTGATTAAACAAACATGAAAATTCAATCACATCTACAAAATGGCTTTGTATGAATAACTTGATAAACCAATATCCAATAAGAATATATATATATACATACATATCAAACAAATAATTTTTTATAATATATATATATATATATATATATTTGAATGATATTACTTTAATATAATATCATGCCACACTTGGACATTTTGAAGTTCCAATTAATGACTTTGTTATTTCTAGAATCTAACATTTGTTTTGTCATCAAAAACTTATTCCATCTCTTAAGCAAGGTTCTCTCAAGTTGCAAGTATAAAGCTAGTTTGTTTTTCAAAAAATTCTACTAGAATTTCCCATACAAGCTTAATCTATTCCAAATCTATTGTGGATGGTTTGCTATTTTCTTTTTCAAAAAATTCCAATAAATAAATCTCTCCATATATGATTAGTCCATTCCAAATTAAGATTCTAACATAGTGTTTATTCCATTCTTTATTTTCAATAAACACACACTCAAATATTTATATATATATATATATATATATATATATCCAGATAATCCACAAATAAAGTTTTTGAAGAGGACTGCATCCCACAACAACATTTGAATCTAAAGGATAAAGCTTCAACAAAAATTGTTTGTTTTCAAAACAATGCTCTGTGTAAGATCTCCACTTCCATGAGTTGGATATTAATGTATATAAAAGAGAGGTAGCAAGGTCAAGGTGGCACAAAGCAAAATGAATACTAATGCAAAAGTTAATTTTTTTCCCTCTAAGTCTTAACCACCACACCTTTGTGTCTTATCTACAAATCACACCCTCTTTACTGAGACAAGAATTGACCCACACCAATCCAATTCCACACAAAATATTGATCTCATGGTGCACTTTGTAAGCATTCCACTACATTGGTACAAAGAATATTGTTTTTAAGTACCTTCCTATCAAGCATGGCAAAATAGGAAACAAACAAATGGTTCAATACTCAATCATCAAAACAGTTTTTCCGTCTAAGAAATATTGCCTGCATAAAAAACAAATACACACGATTCCCAAACATGGCATTATACGTCACTAAAGAACAGAGTTAGGATGAACGCAACATAATTAAAGGAGAACTTAAAAAACAATGTCTTCCTACTATTCCACTGAATTCCATGCAGGAACCCAACCTACAACTAATGTCCCAGAAATGTGCAAAAACACATCCTGCAAAACAATCTGGTAGAGGCACCCAACAAAAGACTTGATAGGAGAAACAAGGCAGCATTACATCTCCAACATTACCCTCCCCCAACACATCAAATCCGTAACAAACCTACAAAGGTTCACAACTTCAGTAAAAACTTGCTCAAACGCAACAAGTCAACACTCAATTGGCATTCAATTTGCAAATGCAGAGTAAAACAAATTCTCAAAGGTGAAGTTAGCTCCACCGCCACCCGAGAGGGGGCTCCGAAAAGCCTGGTAAATATTCGAGGACCCATCACCTTCCAAACAATTAACATGATTTGTCCCTTCACTTCTCTGCCCTATTCTGGGACCATCAAAAGCTCAAAATCTATCAAAGTACATTACGAGTATGGTAATGTGTGCCCCCCTGTACCCCTACGCCACCCCAAGAGTGCGAGGAAAACGATATGGTGGTGCGACTTGCACTGCGACTTGTACGCATCCAATGACTTCTCCATGCTTCTAGGTCCCCAGCGGTACACAAACGACCTTGCAGTCCCTCATTCCCCGTCAGCTCTGACTCCTACAAGTAAAGAATTACGTTCAGCTGGCCATCATCACCTCAACCCCGCTCGTGGACCCAGTCCGATTGACACACGCAGCCTAAAAACAATCGTAGGAACCCCGTGGTTGGTGATATTTGCGCTGTTCTAATCCACGTATACGTTCCCCTCGCCTACCTGCACTACCTGGCTCCGCATGCTCGCAACCTTGCGACAACTCGAGCAACCACGCCTCAAACGACCCAGAGAGGACCCTCCAAAGTGACCAATCACTGCTCGTCCTTCCTCGCACCAACATCGACAACCATCGACGACCTAGGTAACGACACACATTCTCCAAATCGACGCCCCACTTCACTCAACCAACCGGTGCCATAGCCCGAGATAATGGAAGTGCTCCGACTGACCAACACACTCCATACACCCACTGCAACAAAAACAACAAGACGTCGTATCGATGACCCTGCATCAGTCCCGGACCCGTAGCCCACAACGTTTGCACAGATGCACAGCACAATACCTACACATCACCCAACCAAACACCTCACATCTTCACCCGCTGTTGGTTAATGACGGAGCACAATGCGACGGCACTACTCTTGCGATAGCGGCACGTAACCCCCTGAATTGCTAACGGTCTTCCTCGCACCACCACCGTCTGCATTCCCGGCAGTACAACACGCAAAGCCTCCCTGTGGCCAAGGCGAGGGCAATCGACCCACCCCCACAGTAACACCGACAGCAAGTGGCTGAATCACGTGGCTCTCGTAAAAGAAATTACAATCAGAAACAAAATTCGCTCAAAAATACTCCATATATTCTAATTACCAGGAATTTGGCCTCATTTGGGACCCACATGCCTCTGCCCCTAAATCTGCAACTCAAGGCCTCTCGAGGCCGCATCTCCCACTGTTCCTTCTCTTCAGACTAGCAAGCGTAATGCACCACCGCAGTACAAACGCATATGGGCAGAACCGACAGGCGACAACGACGTGGATTCTAACAAAGGAGCCGTTCCAAAACTTTACACAGGATCCTTAAGCAGACCTTGAGAAAATACTGCTCCCGATCCTTGTGCTGCTGCAGAACTATCCCCGACCTACAGAAGATCCGCGACATTCGACGGGAGCTCCTCAACCACGGTGTTGTAGAACCTCTGGATGTCCTGGAGCATGCGCTCGTCCTCCTTCGTCACAAAGTTTATCGCTACTCCCTTGCGCCCGAACCGCCCACTGCGACCGATACGGTGAAGGTAGTTCTCCGGCTGAGTTGGCAGGTCGTAGTTGATCACCAAAGACACCTGCTGCACGTCGATACCCCGCGCCAACAGGTCCGTTGTGATCAAAACTCGGGAAGACCCCGAACGGAACTCTCGCATGATGATGTCCCGGGTGTTCTGATCCATGTCTCCGTGAGTGGCCGACACGGTGTGGTCACGGGCTGTCCATCCCCACAAAGAAAAAGAAAAAAAACACGACCCACTCAATGTCAGACAACATCATCCAAGCTGGACGCCATGCCAACCATCCTATCCAAGCGCGCGCGCGCGCGCACACACACACACACACACACACACAAGTTCCGGCCTAACCACCACAGCCACACCCACGCACGCCCACCATCCACCCCGCCACTCCACATCCCCGAAACGCGACACCCGCCCGGTCCGACCCCACGAAAACCAAACCCTCTTCAAACAATCAACACGATGCCTTCTATCTCCCTACCGCGCATCTTGTCCGTCAACCAGTCCACCTTCCGCCGGGTGTTGATGAAGATCACGCTCTGGGTGATCGCCAATGTCTCGTACAGGTCGCACAGGGTGTCCAACTTCCACTCCTCGCGGTCCACGTTCACGTAGAACTGCTTGATACCCTCCAGCGTCAACTCGTCCCTCTTCACCAGGATCTTCACCGGCTTGTTCATGAACTTCCTCGTGATCTCGAGGGCTTCCGGGGGCATGGTGGCGGAGAACACGCCCACTTGAAGCTTCTGGGGCAGCAGCTGGAAGATGTCGTAAATCTGCACGTCATGGACACCGCACCAGGTAAGCCACTCGTCCAAGCCAAGTCACGACACTGCCACGCACCCACGCTGCTCCAACCACTCCCTACCCTACCACCACACCAACGTGCAAACGTATCTTGCAAAGGTCTCAGCCATCTTGCTTCCACAAGGAGGAATCAATCTCCACTCCCCTTTCGGAAAGATAACGCATAATTAAAACATCATCGACCGTCGCACCCGAACCGGCGACTCCATCCACACCGCTCCCACCACGACCAAACACAATTCTCCACAAACGCTCACCGGCACCTGGCAACAACAACAACAACAGCAACGACAACAACACCGCACCTGGTCCTTGAAACCCCGAGAAAGCATCTCATCGGCCTCGTCCAGCACGAAGCACTTGATGGAATCCGCGCGCAGCGCATTCCTGCGCAACATGTCGTACACACGCCCGGGTGTTCCCACCACCACGTGCACACCCGCCTGCAAAATCCTCTGGTCCTCCCTCACACTGGTTCCTCCCACGCACGCGTGCACCTTCACCTGAAGGTAGTCGCCCAGTGCGCGCATCACCTTCTCGATCTGCTGGGCCAGCTCACGGGTGGGTGCCAACACCAAGGCTTGGCACTCCAAAAGCTGGTAGTCCAACTGCTGCAGGATGCCTGAGCAAAACGTCGCGGTCTTACCCGTACCGGACTGGGCTTGCTGGATCACGTCCAACCCCTTCGTGAACGGCACGATTCCGCGCTGCTGGATGGCCGACGGCTTCTCGAAACCGTACGCATAAATGCCCCTCAGAAGGTTCTCGTGAAGACCCATCACGTCGAACGTCTCGTGGACCTCCTCCCATGTGGAAATGAAGTCCTCTCCCTCGCCGCCCAAGCTGAGATACACCAGTCACACACTTTTTAAACGGAGGGATAGAGAGTTTTGAAAAGCGTACGATTTGGGGAATCTTTAAAGCAGCTGCCGTCGCCCACGATGAGGAATAAGAGAACAACGTGATATTTAAATCAAGAACGACGCGCAGATGGATAGAAAGAAGTTGTAGACTTGACGTACAGGTATTGTTGATTTCGTTATACTGGATATGAAGAGTACACGGGTAAGGACAGGGATGAAGAATATAAGGATGCTTACATGGTCTCCATCTTCGCGTCATACTGGCGGGCATCGAACTGAGATCCTTCTGGTGCAGATCCAGCCATTTTGGTGTGCTGCAGCATTCCATAAACACAAGGAGACGATCAGCTGGGCCATGAGAGTGAATGAATGATGAGCTGCGAACCCAGGAGGAATGACAAGGAATGCACCGACTATAGGCACCATAGAAGGCCATAATGAACCTGCTAACGCAGTCTGCATCTGCAGAGACAGTTCCCAAACAACGTTCATTCAGAGGTCTAGCCTTGTGATGCCTTGTGAAGACGCATGGCTGCGAGCGCCAGTTGAAGTCCTTAAAATAAGTCGAGAATGCCCTAATCGTACACCTTAGGGTTTTCAGAATGTGGGGAGGCGAAGATACCTTCAGAATCAAGTGTTTACCGACGTTCAAAGGTCATTGTTTTAAATGGCATAGAAACCAATATCCAAGGTTACAAATCCATCCAACCCTAACCAAAAGGGATTGATCGTAACATACGCAGCATTCCACACTTTCGAGTAAACGTTGCGCGTGCAACTGTCGTGCCGTTCGCGTTCTGAATCTGCCGCTACACTATGTTGACGGGCACTCTTGAAAAACGGATCCCACACTTCTCAAATTGAACACATGATGAAAGGGGCAAGCCAACCACAGAGGTTGGCGGCCAAGCTCGAATTAAATGTATCCCCTTTAGTTACTCTCAGGCAATAGAGGTAACCCGTGGGCAGCAACAGCTCATCTTGAGCATGAACAATAACGAGAGCTCAGGAAGGTTCCAGCCGGTTACAGAGAACCAAGCCTGGTGGAAGTGGACTCCCTTATCAAATGCTCACAGAAGACCCAAACGCTAGAACACGCATACAACAATAAAACCATCCGAACTCTGTATTTGAAATTTAAATTGACTGATTCTATTATTGGAATAAATTCTAACATTTTTAGAGACCCAAGCACAGCAGGCAGCTACGCATGTCCACCTAACTACAACTCCTCCCGCTCTCTCACTCTCTCTCACACTTAAGTCCGTTGCAGTACCGAAACGGAAAAACCATCAAAGGTCAGGAGATGAACCCTAGTCCAAAAGACGAGGAAGAAACGCTACAAAAGAAAAAAAAAAAAAAAAAAAAAAAAAAAAAAAAACACACAACAACAACAGACTACGCAAGAAACAGAAAACAGAGAAGTCGGTGCAGAAGCAAAAGGAAGCAAAACTACATTACCAATGAATAGTAGCGGAGGGAAATCGGGGGAGACGTCGACAAAGAGTGCACGATCGAAACGGCGCTGTCAAACGAGAATGGCAGCCTTGAAAGAAAGAGGCACGGCACCACTGCGCCTCAACTCAACCCAACTGGTAGGGCTTGCTTGATCGCTACCCCTACCCCCCACCCCACCCTTGGAAGGGTATCGCCCGCCTGAACGCCGGGTCCCAGTCACGGGAGGAACCCTACTCTTTCTTTCTTTCTTGCAACCTCCTCAAATCACTCTGGTGTGCACTCGTCCATAACCCACATGAGTGTGTGTGTGTATGATAGTGAGAATGGATTGCTTAGTTTTATATTCAGTTCCTTGGTTGTTGCTCTGTTTTTGTTCTCCATGGCTTAGTTCTTTGGGACTGACCAGTCTTGTATTTCTACTATTATGGTGATGGATGGACCCAACTCTTACCTTGTTTTTTGAGAGACCTTCGAACATCAGCAAATTCGTTGGCTATGGTTCTCTTCGCCACACAAATAACATACCATGTGTGGTCCTGTCCCAAATGTAGTTGGAAAATGCTATCTAACTCACTTGTTTGTTGGTTTTTTCTCGATGTTTTGTTTGAACCTCCTTGAGTTTTGACTTTATTTACACCAAGTAATTTATTTGCTTCAAGGTGCTTGTAGGACTGATTCTTGAGGTTCTTTGCGTTGCAAAAAGAATTGGAGGTGTTGTGTTTAATATTCTCACAAATTTTGTAAAAAGTCTTTCTTCTATTTATGTTTTTATGTTTTCAGAAATGGTGGCATAAATAGTAAGGTTGGCTTTCTATATAATAGCTTGATTAAGTTGGACAAATCTAATCTTTTCAATTTGAACCCCATAATTTTGTAAACCAATTCTATACATTGATTTTTTTTTTAATTTATAAAGTCCGTTGTAATATTAGAATTGTGCAAACTTAATAAAATCTAAATCCAAATAAAAGTTCATCTTAACAAAATCTAAATCCAAATAACTTTATAAGTTATTAATGAGGTCTATATATCATGGGGTCTATAAAGTACTTCAACTTTTTTCCTTGTTTATAAATTTTTATTCTTGCAAATGGCTTATTTTTTTAATTTATTTTAATATTATAATTTAAAGTTTTCATTGATATTCTACAATAGTTTTATTTCATAACTTATTTATATCAACTATGATATTAAAAAAAACATCTTCTTATAATATTGTTTTAGACTAAATTGACTATCTTCAAATGAATTAAATCTACCTTTGATATTGATTTGACTATCTTTATTGCTTTTGTATAATATTTCTTTTGTTGAATTGTGATGTTTTATTTTATTTTATTTTATTTAGTTATTTAATCTCTAAACATTATTGTAATAGATTTTTTTATTTTTTCTAATTCAATATTGTTTCATTTTTAAACTATTTCAAATATAAAAATTATTGCATCTAATTAAATTTCAGATTTAATAATTTACGATTACTACATGGTATTTTAAACATATTTTTATACATGAAAATTATTCCTAAAAAAGTTAGAAGGTAATTACGGAAGATGCACCCAAATGTTCTTAATAAATTATGAAGAAATTTTCCAATGCATTGTTTACATTAATTCTAAGACTTAAATTTAAACATAATCTTTAAATGTTAGATTATGACAAATTTAACTTTATTCTATTCTTCTTCTAATAACATTATGGTTTATTTTTAATTTACATAAAAACAATGACTTTAATAGACCTTCTTTTGTAAGATTATGTAATATTCAAATTACCATAGTTTAAATTCTGATTATTGGCCAAAGTATAATTTTATCCTCATAAAATATCTTGTATTTTATAACAAAAAGTTTTTTAAACAACATATTCTTCTTTTCGTTTATTACACAATCTTAGTAATTTTTAATATTTTTAGTAGACAATACTAAAGATTGTCTTTTATGTATATAAATTGAATAAATTTTTGTGTTGGTTCAAGTCCTTGTCATATTTCTTATCTTCATTAATTCTTTACTTACTACAAATTACTTCCAACGACTATCAAATACTACCACTTAAACTCCTACACATTGTTGTTTTAAGAATTGAAAAATTTATATATTAAGATCACTTAAGGAGACAAGTGGTGGCTCTCATTCACTCCATGCACCCCTCTTGGTTTCATCAAAAAACTTAACATTGTTTGGAGTTTGAAAGAAAGCAAAACCTTGACCAAAATTCAAGCAAAGTTCACAAGGCGTTCAAAAGGTACATTTTTTCTGTGTGATTCCGTGACTGAATGCATTCAAGTAGAGTTCACAAGGCTCATGTAGGTGAACATGTGTTCATAATGACATGTTACAAACCTGTCATGGCATCAAAAAAATGTCATAATATTAATATAATATTATAATCTGAGACCTAATATATAATATCATAATAATATATTTTTGTAATAATTATATGTATTATATAATATATTGTAATATATATTTGTAAATAATAAATAAATAATATAAATAGTATTACATTATATATATATATATATATATATACATATATATCTATTAAGTGGTGGCTTTCATTCATTGCATGCACCCTTCTTAGTTTTGCATGCACCCTTCTTGGTTTTCATCAAAAAACTTAATATTGTCTAGAATTTAAAAGTAAACAAAAGCTTGACCAAAATTCAAGCAAAGTTTATAGAGAGTTCACTAGGAGTTCATAAGGCTCATTTTTTTCTGCAAGTGAATGCAATTGAAGTTGAAGTTCAATAATTTAGACAGAAGTAGGCAATCAAACACTAGCAAGACAAGGTGCAAGCTGTGATGAGTGATGGGATTTTGCCAAGTGCACGTTGTTGAATCCATGGATTATTATTTTGCAAAGAAATTCATGGAATATATATATATATATATATATATATATATTAATATTGTTTTTCTTCATGTAGGTAATGACTCTGAGACAAAGTAATGACCAAATTTTACATGTTGATTCACATTGTGGGATTTTTCATCTTGTTATAGAGGATGTTGTTTCTTGATTGCAGATACTAAAAATTGTCAAATTGCTGTAGATTCTTTAGAGGTTGATATTGACTTTAATTATGCAGATTCTACATACAACCAAAGCGTGGTAGAAGGACTTTCTCATATAAGTAATTTCAACAACTGTCTAATTTTGTAGAAAAGATATTACTTCAAAAGCCTTGCCAAATATATAGAGAATCGACCATCATCAGTTTGCAAGTTCTAGAGAATTACAATGACAACGTAAAGGCATATCAAGGCCTCATTTTGCGTATATTAAAAAATATCTAGCGCCCATTACTTCCACCGAGCTCTGTACATTCTTTCAATGTTCTCAAGTGCAGAATAAAAGATAATTGCTTTTCATTGTGCTTGATATCATATATGTATATATATATATATATATTTATATTGTTCTTTACTCAAGAATGAACAAAATTGAACAGTGACATTCTATGATTGAACCTAAATTTTGCATTTGATCACAGTAGGTTCAGATCACATTTGATCACGTTTTTGCTTTTGATTTGATATGTGCCACAAGCTCAGATGCAATGCTGCCTGACATGCATTTCTTTTTTTTCTTTTTTTTGCATTTGATTTGTTGTTTTATTTTCTGCAAGTAGGATTGAGGAGAGGGTGTGAAGTGGTTTTGTACTTTTTAGCTTTTCTTTAGATGTTTCAAAATGTGTATTGAAGCTGACAAATCATATTACATTTTAGTTTTTTCATTCAAGAGAAAGGTTAGAGACACAAGCAAACAAATTAATCAATCCAACCTAAAACAACAATATAAGTGGGAAAAGTACATCAAAAATAGTAATATTTTTTTTCTATAATATCCAGCAATAAGAAAGCATCAACATTTATGATACACTTAGCATTCTCAATTTCAAATATTAGAAGAAAAAAAAAAGATAACCACATCAATTTTGAGCTTACATTAGAACTTGACAATAGTAAGCATTGTCACTATGATTGTGAAAATCAAGCATATTAGCCACCTCAGAATCAATTTCTTCAACCAAGAATTTGACAACAGCAAAAAATATTTTTTGGTAAAACTGCACAAGTACCTAAGATTTGTTTTGATGCAATTGCAATTGTAACCAAAGCTGATAAACTCAATCAATATCAATTTATATCATTATTGAGTTCCATCATTTCATAGATTATTATGTGTGTGGACCAATTATTTCAATTTCAATAAATATTGAAAGTAATAATTTTAATAATTTCAATGATATGATAACATGATAATTTATTGAAGTAATTATCATAATTTTTTTAGTAATAATTCAATAATTTCAATTATTCCTTTGATTATCTAATAAAATCAATTATCTTGTAAATTTTCTTGGAAGGTATTTCATAATTGATTATATATATTACATTTCATATTAGAAAATTTAAAATCATAACAATGGTTTTTGAAATCCATTATTATAGCACATTTTAAAAATCAATATTTTAGATTTGATTACACATTCTATTGTATATTTTATTTTTATTTTTTTGAAAAAAATGTAAAAAATATTTTTTGATTCAGTAACATTTGTAATAAATTGTAATTTGAGGAATTCGTTTATCAGGTTTTTTCTAACCACAAATGCATTATTTTCATTTACAATGCAGCATTTGCACTAAATGTTTGTTGCTTCTAGCATCTAGAAGAAACAAGATTGTAAGTGAATAAAAAGCCAATTATTTTTGCTAATATGCAATTGCCATGCAGCTTTGCATCCAACTCCTACAGTATTATTGTGTGCCGCACTTACTCCAATACTATTCGCTCCATGCAAAACATTGTAAGCTATTTACTACTTTTTATTGTACAACTATTCCTAAGACACATAAAGCATATTGAAGCAAAGCCATGTAAAGGAAGATGAAGCCCGCAAACAACAGAATGTAGAGCTACTACTTGTAGAGTTTCTACAACTCTAGAAGCCTGTTTCACAAGTTCCTCCACCACGAGGTTGTGATCTACTAAAGCACGTGTTTTCTTTCTTATCCACCATACAACAAGCATAATCTGAAATTTAAAATTTTGATTAAAAATCTAGGATGCTCTGCCAAAAATAACTTGGCTGTGTAGAAATAGTAGGATTTAATACATACATTTCTCTTTTGTTTGATTGTGCACTTCAATGTCATCAAGCTTTGGGAGTGTGCGCATGAGCTAAGTGCAAGTTTCATGAATTTATGAGTGGATTCTTAGAGATTTGGTGCTCAATCCAACGAGGTAGTTAATTCTATGCTGAATATTGTTTTTTCAAAAGTTTTAATACGATAAATATTAGTGATTCATTTTTTATATTTTGTATTTTAATTTATTAATTTATTGACTTTAATATATCTTTGAATGTTGTAACAAACCTTTATGATTTTTTAATGTAATTTAATGTTTTTTTTATATTTTCACAAGTAGTTCCTTAAACAAAATTAACTACTTTTTTTTTGCATAATATCCATGACAACAACATGGATTTACCTATCCTACTTCATAGCTAAAATCTCTATTGTGTATTTTATTTCTTTTTATTTGTATTATATTATCTTTGTATTTGAAAAAAAAATCTTTAGATCAAAAAATGTTTTATTTGAGTCACACTTTCTATGACAACAATACAGGTTCATTTAGTAAAATTTAAGTTATAACATCTTTATAAAATGATATCCAACCTACTTGGACATTGTCAACCAAATACAAATAATTCTAGCCAAATCCATTTGATTCAACTAAGTTAAAATGACTAAGTAAATTTATCCAAATAAACATGATTTAAAAAAAATCTAATAATATAATAGTCTTAAAATGACTAATTTTAATTAATAAATAATAAAATAAGTATTATTAGTATAAAATATCTAAAATAATTATATATTTTTTGTAATAATGATGTAAAATATTATATTATTAATATTACTATTATTATTGTTATTTTAAAGATTAAATATTATGATAAAAATTTATAAACAAAGTAGTAATTACAAAATAATAAAATTATATATTCATAAACATATTTGCAATGAAGTTATGTGATGTGTGATGATTATCTAATAAAAATAATCATTAAATTAAAAATCTTAACTATTTGAAAAAAGTTTACATGATATTATCTTATTTTTAAATAATTAAGATAATATTATACTTATTGTATAAGTATATAATAACCTTTGAATCTGAACTCTTATTCCTTAAATTCTACTTTCAAATATTATAATATTCAGTTTAGTCATTATCAGATGTTCTATAACTACACAAAAATATTACTCTAAATATTCTATCTCAAATTACATGCCAAACTTTCCATTCATTTAAGAAAGATACTTTACAAAATATTATGAGTAGAAATATACTATATGATATTATGAAAAACTTTAAACTAATACATTTAAAAGAATAAATATATCATTATTAAACTTTTTTTGAATATTTCATTAAATCAAATCAATTTTTTAAAAGATGTTTTTGTAGGTTATTTTTTTAATCATATATATATATATATATATATATATATAAAGATTTTTTTTATTCTTTTTCACTTTAAAATATTGAATATTTGAAATTAAAAAAATAAAAATAACACAAGATATTGACTTCCACAAATTATAGTCAAATGAGAAACAAGATAATTTTGATATGCTGTATTCACAATAAATAATCAAAACATATTTTAATTATTATATTGGTATTAAAATAAAATAATTATATAAATAAATCAAATATAACATATTTACTAAATCATAAAATCTAAAAAAAAAATAATATATCAAGTATAAATAAATACCATTGAGATAAAAACATTTTATGGACCTGAGAAACGAATATATATATATATATATATATATTCATATGTATATTAGTATTAAATTTAAAAGACTAAAAATAAAATAGATATTTATTTTAACATATTAATAAAACCATAAGTTTAATCAATTAAAAAAAAAAACTTTAAAATATTATTTCTAGCTTATAAAAAATCCTAACTAAGATCTTATAATTATAATATTTGCAAATATATATTTTTAAAAAATTAATGAAATTTAATTATATGTTCATATATATTTAAATTAATTATTTAAAATTAATGGTTTATAATAAAAAATTAAATAAAAAATGAGACAGTTTATTTATGAATTAAAATATTAATTATAATTGTTTTAAAGAAGAAAATTGATGCTAACGGAGTTTTAGATTAAAATAATTAAAACCACAATAAAAATCACTACACTTAAGTATAAAATCAAGTGATTTTACACTAAATTGATATGTGATTTAGGATCACAATTTATTTGGTTGCATTTATAAAATTATTAATAATAATTCAGTTTTTTTTATAAACTTAATAATTAATCAATTGATTTAAAAATTAATTAATTAGTTAGTTAATCAACTATTTAGATAGCAAAATTTAAATCTTCATAATTTAATTGATTCCATAATGAACATAATCAATTGTGTTATTTTAATGCATTTGTTTTCTATTGCTTATGTGAGTGATAATGAAGAAATCAACATACATTACAAGTTTGATATTACTAGAGAAATTAGTAACTACATGAACAAAAAGAAATTAAAATATGTTTCTTTTGTCTACAAACAAATATATCTATGTCTTTAAGGTCAATGTTAATATTTGGCTTTGTAAGTTTAAAACAACTCTACTTCTATCAATCAAAGTCTACATTGGGTTTCTTTTCTTACTTTTTGTCAAAAGCTTGTAAATTATCTCTGATTATTGATTCAAGGTATATTTTTCTTAATGTACCTTAACATTCATGGACTTGTTTATATACTTGTTTAGGTAATTCATTTAATTTATTATTATTTTTTTAAAATCTGTACACAATTTAGAAAGATTCCCACATCTTTACAACACCTATCAATGCATTACAATAGTGTTCTATTTTCCAAGATTTTCGTCAATATTAAAGATAAACAACGAGGGTGGTTTGTTTTGCTCAAATTAAACATGTTGAGACTATTGACCCATCTCTTCTTTTCTCCTTGTTTCCCTATCATCTTCAATGAACAAAATCTGCAGACTAGATTGGAAAGATGTCAATAACGTTCATTATTCAACATGCACAAAAGACACAAGCATGACAATGTTGGCTTTGGAATCGCATGTTGATTGGTGGCAAGAGAAAAAAGGTGCCAGTGATTAATTGATAACAAAATGATGAGAGGACCTCTGGAATGCCATGTGCTGAAAACACGAAGAAGAAGTTTAACTTGGACCACTGTTAACCACCAAGTCTCAATTGGATCCGTCCGTCCGCCCGCCCGCCCATCCGTCCGTCCATCTGCCCCGAAGATGAACCGATACAATTGAATGGGAACGGCGGTGAACCCGTTTTCCGTCCGGACAGAAATTCGGATCGTCGGAAAGGAGGAGGCATTCATTTATGCATTCATCTACATATTCATTCATGCACACATCCGTTCATCCATATTGGGGAGGTCGCTTGGCACCTGCTTACGTCTTGTCTGTATGTGTGTCCCATGACGGGCACTGCACTGCACTGCCCACAATTAGGATGCCGGAAAAGGCAAAATGGGAAAAAATGCAGCGCCAGCCATTCTGTCTGTTCAGTTCTGTTGAGGTGGAATCCATTTCCTGTGCCCGTTTGGTTGTGGCAGCAGCCTTGGTTCTTCTTTCCTCTTGTATTGGTCTCGTTTGTTGGGGTGAATTCGTATGGGTGGAAATTGTACCGTATTTAGTCATTTCGGTTTTTGTTTTTGATCCTTTTTTGTATATTATCTTCATATTTTTGAAATCCTCGTGCAGGAGCAGAACGATTACTTGGAGTATCAATAACTAGCCTCCTCCATTACCAGTTCCAGTATTTTATTATAGAGGAAGTTAGTTGTGGATGGTGAGAGAAACGAAGAGGGAAGAAGCAAGATAACGAACAGAAGTGGTGTGTGTGTGTTTTTTATTTATTTATTTATTTATTGCTTTAGTTGCTGTTGCGGTATCTTGGATGTGTCGGAGGAGTGAGACGTACAAGTAGACGTAGATCGAAGGGAGAGGAACGCGGCATGCCTCAACTGATCAACGACATTACATCGCACTAGGGAGGGTTCTGATGTTGAGCGGGCAGGTTGCTGAAACGTAATGCGAATTTACATCAGAGGTCGCTGATTTGCATCAGTGCTAGAGCTCGTACTGCTTCTTGAGGCCGGGCTCGGGGAAGGACGAGAAAGGCAAAGAGGAAGCGGGGGAGGGTGTGGGGATGCTCTTATGCCTCCGTTTTGTGTTGGTTTTTGTGTGTTGTGTGCTAGGGTTGAAATCCAGGGGGACACTGGAGCATCCTGGAGGCATGTGAGGGGAGAAATTGTGCGGGTGTTATTGTGGTAGAGCGTGACATGGGATTGGATGTGGAAGGTCCTGGATGTCAATGGGGTCGCACATTGTTCATCCCCCATAGCCAGCTGTGGCGATGGGATAGTCATTTTCTGGTGCACCCACGAGGCTTGATCTGGGTGGAATTCAGGGGTGCAGCTTCTTAGCTCTTTTCGTGAGCACTGGAGATGGTAGTGGGAGGCCGTGGTTCTTTTTTCGCATTTTCTGGCAACCCTGTTGCTTGATCTTCTTACCGCTTTACGCACGGCACTACGTGTTCAGTACTATTATAGTTATATAGTTATATATATATATATATATATATATATATAGTTTTTTTTGGTGTGCGGGTTGCTTGTGTTCGTAAGATCGACAAGCCGTACCGATGTGGAAATAGGCGACGAGTTCAAGAAGTGTATAATACCAGTGAGAGTTTTGAGGGGACTAGGCATTGCTTGAGGTTGCCTGTCCTAGGGTACATTACAAAATTTTGGAGGTTTGTATCATTTAATTAGGCGCTGCGGCTACCAACTTTGGAGAGCTACAATTTTGGAGAATCTTCGACACAAATTGGACCATTGTATGAGTAAGTGTCTCAATTTTTCTTCTTGAAAGTTTGGTCAGAGGTATGGTCAGCCGAATTTTCTATGCGCGTAGGAGTTCGAAGTGTTACGTTTTGTCTGTATGATCAGTTGTCATCATTGTGCAAGACCGGCAAGAGGTTCTTTGCTACAGTCTTGCGGCAACAGGCTGAGCTCTTCTAGTTTGGGGGGTGTCGAAGTGGCTATAATTGTCGTATGAGCGATCTATTTGCCGTACTCGACTCTGAGTGAAACGGCATCAGCTACAAAACATGCAATGGGCTTCGTCTGGGTTGAGGTAGTAAGCAACTACCCCGTAGGGACGATTGATTGAAGTGTGGTGGGAACCTTGGACAGTTTGGGCAACGATGTTGTTATATTATGGTTTTGCTGTCAATACATACCTTTTCGATAATGGTTACAGGCTTTTGGTGGGTAGTCTTTCTTACACTTATTGGGGATGCGGCATTTTGGGGCTAATAACTTGCAACGATTGAAGAGTGCGGTGGGTTTTGAGAGAGGGAGCGAGACAACTTCTGTGTTAGCTTTTGAGGGCTACATTGATTCGTATAATATGGATTGGACAGTCGGAATACTTTCCGGCCAAGGTAGCATTGGAATGGACAGTAGCAGGGAATCGTTTGTCTTATAATGTCTACGTTTGGCACTTCATAACTTGAGAAGAAAACAATAAAATAGAGTTAGGATTATGGTTGGGGTAATGACAACCTGGCCTCATGAGCCTAAAGCGATCATCTACAAACAGATTTTTTCACAAGCAGTATGAGAATTCGTGATTGTTGCAACTATGCGAAGATCACAACGACGTCTCAGATTTGTTATGTTAGATCCTCAAATTGTAATTTGTCGTCGCCTGATAATGTACGTTTTTGGTGGCACTTCTTAATGTGGTTTTATATACTATTTATCTTGAGACCAATTCGTTCTTGCAAAGAACTAGAGTTAGTAAGGTTACTTCCACTCGCTGCTTCAACACAATTGAGTGAGAAATTCTTTTCAAAATCATAGTTAAGTCCGAATACGTTACTGATCGTGACCAAAGCTGTCTTTGCTGGAGTTGTATATGGTGCGTAGTAAACAGATGTTGGCTTTTGAAACTCTGCTTGTTGCTGGGCTGCAGGTGAGCGGTTAGTGGTCAGTGGTGAAGATGGTATAACATGGATAGGGCAGAAATTGATGTTGATACAGCTCCCCAGGCTGTTGCGGGGCCATGGAGAGCATCTGTGTATCAGCCTCGCAAGAGGACTGTGAAGGAGCTGCTTCTGCATGCCCAGAAGATTTCTGAGCCCAGGGTATGTTGGCACTTGGCTCCAAATATTTCTATCGTCTTCTCTAGGTTTTTTAATGCTTGCCTTGTCAGTTAGTTGTGATGTACCAGCATTTATATACAAAGTAAACGACACAGAGTAATTGGCGTCGAAATCCTTGTAATGAGTGCGTAACTGTCGATGCGACAGCCAACCATCTCTCTCAAACTCATACCAACGATTAACAGCTAGTTGTGGTCGAGCTTGGCAAGTAAGCTGTGTGTGAGGTTTCAGCATGATCGACACAAAAGCATGGCTAATTCTTCTTTCTGTAGCATTTCGTGGGTTATTTGAAGGCCAAGTTATGGCCGTGAAAGTTACTCTCTAGCATTTGTTTATATCAGGTCGAAATTCCCCTCTTTTCGCAGCGATTTAATTTTATAGTTTGTTTCAGCAGCTCTCGTGGGTCCATTGGTACCAGTGTGTTTATCTACCTAATCGCTATTGAGGGTTGAATTTCGTGTACCTACGGGAATTGTTGCCTTGCAGCCATCGCCTGTGCTCACCGATGGAGTTCGTATGCAAGGTCCGGGTGTGAAGGAGGTAATGCTTCATGTAGGCATTAACAGACTCACAAGCATGAGTTGTACTGATTAGTTATTGGAAAAGGTGGTCGCAGTTTTTTCGATTCTGTCCCAGCTAAAATGTATGTGTGTGTGTGTGTGTGTGTATGTGTATGTGTGTTATTTATTTATTTATTTATTTTTATGCAACTAAATGAATCGATTCTATACTGACATATTATCCACTATGATTGTCTACGTGGAACACAAATTTCAAGTTGAATTCTGGACTAACTTGGAGTCGAATCTGAGGAAAAATGATGGCTGTTTTCCCAGGAATGCCATAATTGTGGAAGTTCAGTTGCGGAAGAAGAGCTTCAGCAATGTAGTGCTTGTGAGTTTTACCACATGTCTGAGGTTGAGCAATTTTGCATTTAGAATCATTAACTTAACAATAAATAATCTTCATTTTTGTAGCCCGCATTGTATCTGAGCGTTATTATCCTTTGTAAAGCCTTTATTTTAATACGATCCCCCTTGCTTCGTTCCTACAATTTCGGGATCCATTTCTAGAGTAACGTAGGCCAATCAAAAAAGCTCCAAATCAGACAGACGAAAAGAAGCACTTAACAATGCTGGTAGTAAACATCTCCTCACTATCTCTTGTTATTCTGGTTTTCTGGCAGGTGATCGAGTATTCCACCCGACTTGCTTGGACCCGCTTGTAAATGTATGTATGACACACTAAAAAGCTACGAAAGCATTTGAAAGGATTTCGTAGTATTAAATATATTGGTAGACTTCCCAGGTAATTTTAGAGATGCTGGATTAGAATTTGAAAGGAAATCAAATTAAATGCATGGTGGTAAAACCCAAAAGTTATTGATACTTATCAATGCATTGTTTTGCCCGTATAGGTTTCAACCTGTTAACTTTACACATGCTGAAGTAAAGAAGTTTGGCTCTGTGCAGATTATTACACCCGATGAATATTGGTGCTGTGGTCTGTGTGATGAGCACTATAGTAGGAGAGAGGATGCCGAAGCTACAGACAAAACATCCGGCGGCAGCATGACAAGGAGTCAAGACACTTGTAATCGGTGGAATTCAACTGCGTCTGGTAGGAAGAGGTGGGGCACAAGCATACATGAGTTAAAGGAATTTGTTCAGGAAAAGAAAGCTGGTCTTGTAGATGGAAAGCTATTTCCAGCAGCATCCCAGAGCAGCATTGATCGCGTTACCTCTGAGGGAACAGGGGAGGTAAGCAGACGGAGTAAACGAGGTCGTCCACTCAAGAGCACTGGTCATGACTTGCCTTCCAAACGTAGAGGGGCCGATTCTCGAATTTCCAAGGCTAAATCTGATGATTTGAATTCATCTTCCAGTGTTCTAGAACAGGCAGGGGATGCGGGAGAGCTGGCAGTAGATTCTAGGCGGGACACTGTGAGAGTTACACGTAGTTTAAGCGTCTGCCTTCCTTCTAATGCTGGAGCCACATCTGGAGAAGTTCATGAAGCGGTACCTTTCGATGTGGTTCATACTGAAAGCAACGATGGAGACTTGCAGAACGTTGGAAGTATAGCAGGTCCAGAAAATTTAGACAAGGAGTCCCAGCTGAAAGGTGCCAAGTGGACCAATTCAGACAAAGATCTTCAGTTGATTGCAACGAAGGACATTTCCACAGAATTATGCTCGGAAGTAGCCCTGTTTCATGGCATAGGGATGGGTATGACTCAGGTGGTGACGTATGGAAAACTGGATAGATTCCTCGAAGAAAACTCTGACCTCAGGAAATCGTTTGTTTTTGCGAACGCCTCTTTTGCTTCCGACAAACCAGGTTCTTTCTTTTTCTTTCATCGTAATGTCCACTTCATAATTTTACATGGATGTGGATGTCGCTCTCTTGAAAACTGTAGAAGTTTGAGGGGATTGTAGGAAAAAAGCAGTTTTTTTAGTGCGATTAGAAATTACTATTTAAATATGTTCTTGAAATTTGAAAATCTAATGAACCTGAATCTAGGTAGTTTGCTTGACTGGTACCCCAGCAACATTCTATGGTACTTATAGCCGTCTTGTTCAGGTCGAACTTTCTTTCTAAATTACACCAATTATTAACTGACTTTTTGCCCCAATTTTTGAAATTCATCTACGCAATGGTTGAGAGTTTCATTGCCTCCTTTTAACGCACATCAACTATTATTGAAATATGCTATCTGGTGAAGATGAATATATCTAACTCCTTGGCCCTTGAAGTACTATTGAGTAATCATATTTGACATTAACTTCAACGTGGTGCAGTGTTGGAGGAGTTGAAGCTGCAGAATGTGGGGGTCGATGCTCGAGATAGGAATTTCAGTGACCACTGGAAAACATCAGCAACTAAGGTTGGCACAATTTTAAATGAGTCGTCCTCAACACTTTTGAGCTGCCCACGGAATGTTGGAGATCAGTCACTTGGAAACCTGGCGGATCAGGAAGAGAAGGTTATTGTCTTTGACCAGCAAGTGGTAAGGAATTGTTCTGAAAAGGGAGAACAGAACGTAGCGACGACTCACGCTGGACAGGAGCCTGTTTTTGGTGAGAATCCTCTAAGTCATCCCTTTGAATTTACAGGGAAGGCTACCTTGTCAAATACCCTAGCGAGGGAAATTGAACTACCATTGGTGCATTCTGCAGGGCCAAGCTCATCATCTGCTTCCTTGAGTAGTTCACCTTCCCTCTTAGTCAAGCGTCCCATTTCATCCTCTCCTTTGAGCAATTTCTACCCTGCTTTATTAGATATATCCTCGGCATCACTTGCCTCGCCATTCGAGGGGTTCCAGTCACAATCAAGGGATGCCATGACTTTTACCCCTCCATTAACTTCGTCATTTTTAAAGCCTGCTCTTGAGCGAAGTGGGAGCGATGGAAAGGTTCCTTTAATCGCTAAACATCTCCTCCAGGCTTCTAGTTCAAGCCCTTCTACCTTCACTTCTTCACTCGAACCTGAGAAGATTGTCTCGAAGGACTCTTCTCTGCATTCTGCGTGTAAGGCACAAACTTTTGTTTCCCCGTCGCAGTCGCCAGCGATCGACAACCCTTTGGTTACTGACGTTGATGATATTTCCGTGTTATCTAATCTGGCTATTGGTCTCACAGTACCTCCTCAACGAGCCCGTAAAGGGTCGCAAGCCTCTCCTCCTGTTCTAGAAGCCAATAGGTGCGCGGCACAGCCAGCCCGCAAATCTGAGGGCCAGACCGTGGACCTTTCTCAGTCGGGACACACTCTCCCTTCTCGTATGGGGAAAGAGTTAAACAAGTCTTCCTCTATGCGAGACCAGGGATTTGGGAACACCGTTATTCCTAAGCAAGCGGAGAACGGCAGTAGTACATTGGAAGCTGATGAACCTCTTTTTTGTAAATCCAAGGAGTCAATTTCAGAGGGCGACAAAGATGAATCACCAAGCAACCTTCTTGTGGAAGATGTGCGACCTCAAACCTGTCTATTGATATTTCTTTAGTTTTTGTAATTGTTACCACATTCGACTTGTAATCATGTTGTTTGAAAATGCACTGCATGATGATTTAGATGGAAGTTTAAACTGATTAGCAAAGATGGTGTCTTATGTAACTTGACACTTTTGCCTAACAGGTTAAGGTTTGTGATACATGCGGTAACACTGGTTACGAGGAACTCCTGGCTCTTTGCAGTTCCTGCAACGAAGGTGCCGAACACACGTGAGTATGAACGTTATTTATTGTTTGGCGTCTTCATTGAATAATGATGATGACGTTTGAACTACTTTCCACAAGCTGATTTCATTGCCCACTTTTGCAAAGAAGTGTCAAAGGTGGTCCATTTTCCTCTCTAGATTTTTGACGAAGGAGGGTTCGACACGTGACTTCGAACATTGAACTATGAAACGATGATTCAATAATTCAAAATGTTTATCACGATTGGTCTAAACCACTGTTGAACAAGATCATGCACGTGCACTCAAATCTCGCTCTCCCTTCCCATCGCTCAGGAAAAAAAATAAAAGAAAGCAAGAAAGAAAGAAACCTATATATATATATATATATATATATATATATATATATCTATATATCTATATATATATATATATATATATATATATATATATATATATATATTGAGAGAGAGAGAAAATGGCTATCTCTTGTTTGATTAGCCCCCCTTCTGATTCTGCTTAATTAGCAGATGTCTCAATTTGCTGATTCTTGTTTCCTTCATTCTATGTTCATTAGAGTATTCAGAAATAGTAACGTACTTATGTGTATGGTTCAGGTATTGTATGCGGATCCAGATGGATGGATTACTTGAAGGAGATTGGTTTTGCGAAATGTGTCAAATGAACCACAGGCACAATGGACCAAAATCTTTGGAGCGGTTCATCGCTACTTCTAAGTCGCTGGGCCATTCGATCACCTTAGAAACCCGACCCAAACCTGTATCTATTCAGGGTAATTCTCGGTCTCGACTTTCTGACCGTCTCAACCACAAGAAGCCTCGCCTTGATCCAGTTAGGAAGTCACCCTCAAAGGCTCCTGTTGTGCAAATGTCTGTCAAAAGATTAGCAAGTGATTCACTTCTCCCTTCTGTTTCTAGAAAGTTGCCACTAGAGAGTTCAACGCGTGCAACTTCTTCAACGGTGTCTCCATCACCAACGCTTCAAACTCCAGCACCTTCAGCAAAATCTTCGCTTACGCGCGATAATACTTTCAAGTCTGTTTCCGACACTGTTAAGGTGAAATTTTTGGCACCATTGACAGTTGCCAACTTTTCGTCTGGTTCACGAGCGAACGTGTCTAAAACTCCAACCGTGATCTCACAGCCTCCAAAAGCAGGTTCCGTTCATCGTGACTTATACTTGATGTGGCTCTTTTAATTGATCAATCATTTGATTTCGGACAACCTCATGTGTAGTTCGATTAACCTGTATGCTGTAAGCATTTTCGTAATGTTGACATGCGCTGAAGATATGCCATAGCATTTGAACATTGTTTCAGTATGTGACACCAGACGTAAATTTCAATATCTGTTCTTTGACAAAGCTTATGTTCATTTCATACAGTTCCATCGGGACAAGCTAGCAACAGGAGCAGATTCATGTCACTAAGCAGCATATCTGAGTCAAGCACACCTTCAAAGACAACCAATTTGAATCCTTCTCATGCTTCGTTGGCAGCTTCACCCACATCGATACTTCCAAAACCTTCGTCTGGTAAACTTCCGGCTGACTTATCGATACCCTGTAAGTCATCAACTGTTAAATTCTCTAGCGACTTCTCTTTTCTGTTAAATTCAAACTCCAATCAGGGGAATGGAATCAAAAGCTCTGGGCAGTCTAAGAGCAACAGAGGTAGTGGTGTTTCAGATGGATGTACCATGCCACCTATTGGTAAGGAACCTGTACCGTCTGCCACTATAATTCCAGGTTCAAAACTCATGAGACTGGGTAGAAATACCAGCAGCAGCGGGCTACCTGGAGAACCTCGACCCTTCCCTGTCACCCCTAGACCTCCATTCGAGCATGGAAAAGGTATCCAACGTTTAGGGCAAGGGACTGGTGGCTCACATGCGGCAGGTATGATAATACAGGCCCGAGCTTCAGTAAGCCATGTCTATCTAGTCTGCTCGATCTTTGGAGGGTTTTGTTTTGCCTCACTGAAAACTGTTGTAAGAGTAGGCTAGATCCTTGCATCTCCTCAATTTTGTATTCCACATGATTACTGTGGGTACTAGATCGTCATTTCTGTAGACCTTGGTAATGTGCCCAATTTTATCGCTGAATAGCTTCCTACTTGGCCTTCTCTAGTTTCTGAAATTTATGCCTCGCCTAAGTATTATACTTTCATTCGCAGGAGCTGGAATAACACCAAATGCAATGAAAGCTGGTGGTAACGATAATGCATCATCTAAGTCCGAACCTACCACTGGGATTGGATCTGCGGTTGTTGCAAGAGTGACATCGGAACTTGCCTCTGTGCTCGTGTTGCCTGGGAAGGATCCGAAGCCAAACAATAGTATACGGAGTGCCCCACGGTTAGGAAATCCAAGGCCTGTGCAGTGTTTCTCATGCAAGGTTGTTGGACATACTGCTCAGGAGTGTCTGAAGAGTAATTCATTACCTTCGGAGCAGAAGGCTTTGACTGCAGTATCCATGTCTTCTGAAAACCGTCCCAAACCTTCCAAGATTCCAACTTTTGTTGATGTAGACAGATCTACCCCTTCGTTGGGTGAACAATACGAAAATGTCAGCTTGGGATCTGCTTCACATCGTTTGCAAATTCCAATTGATCCAGTGCCTGCGGGTTGCAGTTCGGAGCTAGAGAAGTCAATTGCCCTTCATCCTTCTCCAACACCGAGTGACCTCATGCCCAGAACACCTAATTTTAAGCTTCAGGACTCCTCTTTGATTGGTTCTGGGATTCCTTTCTTGTTTGATAATATCTCGTTTCAGCAACTCGTTTCTGGGCAGACTCCTCGTGGTGTCTCAGCTGCAGCAAACAGGGACATCCCGTGTGGGGCGGAACCTAAGGGGGGGATTGGAGGTTGTAACGTGACGACACAAGACTGGGCTAATCACAACGAAGGGCCTCCAGGTGTAGAGGTAGCACAGACGATTTCAGCCTTACAAATCAATGCTACGCCTGCGGTAACATCTGAGGGTGGTTTGGTATCAAATTCTTCGCAAGTCTCTGCTCTGAAAGGACCAACTGGATATACTATGCAGCCCCTAGAAGCTGTTGCCAAAAGCTCGGTCCCCCCAGGTTTGCAGACAAGTCCTGCACCGTCCTTTCGGGGACATCGGCCTCATTGGATGGTGGGGTTGCCTGTACACGCAGTGCAAGGCCCGCCACCTGGACAAGTTCCCACTTGCCCACCATCTGGACTAGTCGTGTGCGGGCAATCTGCACCAATGCCATACCTGGCCACCCATCCTTCATCACTCCTTTCGATACATGCTCCTCCTCTTCCCTCAGACTCATCTTCAACGCCAGCTTCGATTCCAGCTATCCCAAGTTCGGCGATTGCCTGGCGGTAAGATATGAAATTGGCTTGTAATCGGTGTTGTAATGTCTCTCCAGGAACAATCTTATTGCAGGTATTGGTTCCAGTTTGCAACTAATTGTTTAACTGAAGATCAGATTGTTTTGCAGTGTTCTCCTCTCACCATTCGAAGACCATGTTCAAATTGTGTCAGCCTTTTTTGGAAGTTTAATTCCGAAGCAATCTAATTTTGCAACATGAATATCATGTAGTCTAATAGCTATTGTCGAATTTGTAAAGGATTGGGAATGCAGTATATATCACCTCCTACAAATTCTCTTGATCCTGAGATCTCAAAGGTTCTTGACATGGATGTTGTTTTGTCTTTTTTGCACCCTTGGTTGCAGGCCCTTGGCTCTAGGTTCCTAATTGTGCCCGGGTAGTCACAAGTTTCTAAAAAATGCGACTAGATGGCACCTTGTAGTATTTGTTTGTGCATTAAACTTGATCGTCCGTTTCTGATGATTACTTGTGTTTTGTGGTTCTGCAGAGGTGCTTTCGAAGTTAACGATGGACAGACGACAATTTTGTTCGATGAAGTGCGGGCTCATGTTTCTACCAAAGCTGTTGCCAAGGTATATGAAGTTGCATCGGCATTGCCGCAACAACTTCGTTTAGAGCAAGTTCAGCGCTCACTGGACCTGGAGACGTGGCCACGCCAGTTCATTCAACGACCTCCAACTGATGGAAGCATTGCTCTGTATTTTTTTGCTGATTTTGGTGAAAGGTACTAAAATTTATGAACTTCATGTATCATAACTCTTCTTTCAAGTAAGAGAAAGTGAATTGCGTTGTTTGTTTTTCCCCCGGGCCAAACTTCTTCTTCCGACATATTGGGCTGGTATGTGACGAAAGGACGGTTTAGATACATTATTTTAAGGTTTGTTCGTCACTAACGTTGCATGGAGATTGTCTAACGGTCATGATGCTGTACATTTGCAGTATTGATAGTATTCATCGGAAATTGATGGATAACATGGTTGCGCGGGATCTCGTTCTGCGTGCTCAAGTGAATGATGCCGAACTTCTTATCTTTCCATCAAACAAACTTTCCGAACAGTTTCAGCGTAAGATATTTAATTGCTCTTGTTTTTTTCTTGTAGGCTGTTCAGAATTGTAGACTGAGTTTTGAAGCAACCTTATTTCTGCCACCAAGAACTCATTTTTCAAACCTGTTCACATTGCTGTTGTTTTAAGTTCTTAGCTGTATGTTTATGGAGCTGAAGTGTCGGAAGGGCAGTCCAGATCCACTTAGAATGATTATTGGTGATTGGCAAGTGTAGATCGCAGCATGGAAAGGGGGCAACAACAAGCTGTGCATAGGGATAGTGAATCACTGAGTCTAGATATACATATACTGAAACTCAGGTTGGTGTTCTACAGGCTGGAATAACCACATGTTCCTGTGGGGCGTGTTTCGAGCTAAGAAGAAGGCAGCGACAGCAGTGTCAGTTCTAACATCTGTGGTCAAGCAAGTACCTGGTATTGAAACATCTCTAAGTTCATCCAGTTCTGTGCCAGGAGCAGCATTCAAATCCACCACAGTATCGAATGTGAATTACTCAAGTTTAGGGGGTGAGAATACTGGGGAGATAGATATGGAAGTTGACATGGAGGGAGGAAAGGGGTGTGGTGTTTCTGACATAACTGTTAAATGGCCTGATAGTGCCAACCCTCCATCTACACCTTTTTTGACTCGAATACCAGCCAACATCACAACAACACCCGCAGTTCCAGCAGCCACAGCATCAGCATTGCAGAATCTTGCGTTAGATACAGAAGCTGATAGGATTGAAGATCTTTGTATGCCTCCTGGATTTGCCCCAATTTTAGTCCTGCCTCCTAGTCCAGTGGCCCTGGAGACGCCCGGTTTACGGTCGAATCTACCCCCTGGATTCGGAAAGACGGAAGCACAGAAACAGGTTATATTTTTTACGAGATTATTCTTGTTGGTTTGGTTTGTCGTGTTTGTTACAACTTTAGCCTCTGCTTTTACCTGTATGTTTGAGTCTTAATCTGCATATGATCCAGATTCTTGTTCTGCGTACTCTCGGTTTGGAATGCAGATGATTTACGTTTTAGACCTTCATCTAGCAGGTTGACGTACGAAGCAGTACAGACACACCTGAGATTGAAGAGTTGGGAGGCCTTAAATTGAAGCGCGGTGTTTGCTCAGTGGAGGTTTTGAAGGACCCTAACATGCATGCAGCATTACCTTTTCATGCACCTAGTCTAAGGGATAATGAAAGCGGTCAACCCAGCTCGCGCCCCTCGACAATCAAGCGATCTCACGCTACATCTTGTTCACTCAGTTTGCCTAAGGATAAAGAAAGAGACTTAGGCAGGGGTAGGGTGTATGATAGGGAGAAGGAGCGAGAGAGGAGAGATCGGCATCTTAAGCATGGGCATGATAGATCTTGGGAGCGCGTTTGGGAGGAACAAAGAGATAGAGAGCGTGACAGAGATTATGAGAAGGATAGAAATAGATCACCAGCCTGGGATAGGTACAGGTCGAAGGAAAGGGATAGAGCAAGGCAAACAGATAAAGATAGGCCAAGAGGGACGGACAGAATAAGGGAGAGAGAGAGGGGTCGAGAACGAGATCGAGAGCGCTGGGGCGGAAGAGAAAGAGAAAGAGAGAGGGGAAGAGATAGATTTGCGGACTGTGTCAAAGATAGGTCACATAGACCTCGTGATTACGACCAAGAACTAGACAGCAGAACTACTCGATACAGGCGGTCTCGATCTCGCTCAAGGTCGAGAAGTTCGGGAAAGGGGAAAGTAAGGTCACGATCTCCTGCTGGAAAACGAAAGGTTCGGTCTCGAACGCCTGTGCTGCTGAGGAGTCGATCCCCTTCGCCGTCACGAAGATATCTGGGCTATCGGCAGCAATCATTATCAAGTTCTGACTCCCCAGATTCTCAGTCACTGGAGATTTTGCAGGGTTCAGCAACTGTGGGAAGCAGATTCTGTAAGAAAGGCGGTGAAAGTCTGCAACTGAAGAGGAGAAGCGCATCCGACAAAGAAATTGATGAAAGCTTTCGATCTGCATCTCGATGGAGGGCACGGCCAGTGAATGACAGACGATCAGGAAGTGCAGGGGCTAGCAATTTCAAGACTGCTGACAAAAGTAACACGGCAGCAATTTCTCGATCAGTGACCCCAGTTCTGGATATGACCGAAGGCGTTAGTGAGGTCTTCTCAGCGGAATGTGCTGCAGCATCCACTTCTTTACCAGACCTTAACACGGATACTGTGGAGTCTGGTCTCGGATTCCATGATTTTTTGCCCGCAGAGGAGACTGAGCCATCTAGGGATCCTGAAGCGACCACTCCTGTTGCTGAACAGACCTTCTTCCCTGGCGCTCGTCCAGCAACCACTCCTCCCAGCCTCGCAAGGCTGAACTTCCGGCATGTGCTTGAACCTGTTTCAGCAAGAGAAAGGTGGGGGTTTGCAGTGAGTGGCACACGCCCGGAATATTGCACAAGATCTTCTGCGTATCAGTATCTTCACTCGTCTAGATTAGACTCCAATCCTGACCTAGAGCTCGCTTTGGGGGGTCGTGAAAGAACTCCAGAGCGAACAGTTCCTCTAGCCTTGTTTGCAGATGGGCATGCCAATAACCCTGATCTAGACTTCGCATTGCATGCCAAGTCCCCGAATTTGAGTGCGGGTGTACCAAAATGCCCGCACTTGCAGGGGGATTCAGGGGTTGGTGGTGGAGTGGTGACTGCGTCTTTATCGTTGAGTCTTGCTGCCCCGCAGTATAGGAAGGAGGGCAATTCGTGGGTTCAGGTTGAAGACCGCGGTGCGGTAGTCGCAGATGATGTGGACATTGCACTTACTCTGTGACATGGAAGACTGCGGTGCTGGCCGATTGTGTATAGTAGGTGAAATAAGTGCCAAGAAGGTTAGCAATCTGGGAGGTTTTTCAGCAATTTGTATCCTTTGTCCCCGCAATGATTCACAATTTTGCAGAATTGGGGCAGTATATTTGATCATCTGTAGATAGCTTATAGGATAGATAGATAATGCCGAATTCAGAACACTTGGGACTGCGACCCTTGTGGGCGACTGACTCTATCATGTATTTTACGAGCTGTGGTTTGCTGTCTTTTAAAGCAACGCCTTCGGAACCCTAGCAAATTATTGCGCTATGCATCAACATTATTAGACACTTCTGCATTCAATCGCTTCTTTACCCCGTTGAATCTTCACTCCTGTGGTGATAGTTTGATGCTGTGCAATGCTGCACACCACATATACTTAAGATGTCGAGTTCCGCCTTTAGTTCCTAGTAATATGAGCAGGCGCAGTGAAAATCATAAGAAGTAAATAGCGCAAATATGAATGTACTGGAGTCTCAATTATTTAAGCTCAACTTTGCCACTAGATATGTATATATATATATATATATATATATATTTTAATTTTACTATTTGAGTCATTCATCCGGCGTAGTGACACGAGTGTCGTTACTGACTCGAGACATAATTATGGGAAATGTGACCTATCCACACCCAGCCTCATCCAAATGACATGTGTTGGCCTCAAGTATCCTACATTCGCCAAGTGGTCCGAGACACGTGTCCTAATCCCCTCTACCGTCCAAGCTGTAGAACTCATCGTTCGAAGATAGCAATGTGTGACAGATCACAAGCGCATTCATGCGGGAGATTATCATTCCATCTGCCAAACTCGTATGCTTCTGTTTTGATCGCATATTCTCTGCTGAGGCTACATTTTTCTTTCGCCTCTCACCTGGGTTTTTTAGGCAAGATTGCTTATGTTCAATTGTGCATTGCGATTTGGGGATAAATATTTTATTTTCATAGCTGGAGCGATTGACTTTGTGCAAACGGGCTTTGAAGGTGGAAGCAAGATCATACCCCCAATTCATTTTCGGATTCTGTTTGTTGTGGATGTTTCACTTTGTGATATGGCACATCGCTGTTTCGTGCAGCGTGATATCTGGTGCTTTCAGTATTTCGTTACTTGTACAGAGCAGAGACAGGCGGTTTCTTGTGGATGTTATTGATGTCTCTTGTTGACCTAATTAAATGCCATGAAATAGAAACTCTTCTTCATTTGGTAAGTGGGTGATGTTGGCAGAGGGGATTTGATCAACTCAAGTCAAAGGTTTTGTTGGTACTGTACAAACATATTAAGGGATTTGAGGAGGGATGACGAAGCCGGAATTCAACGTAGGGGACAGGATATCGTGGAATTACGGCAAAGGCAAAGGAAAGGGTCATATTGTGGAGAGAGTGATCAAACCTACGAAACTCTATGGGAAAAACTTCAAGGCTTCTCCTGAGGAACCTAAGTACCGTATAAAGAGTGATAAAGGTAGGCTTTTTCATCACTTTTACTTCTGTATTTTAATTCAATTAGTATCTTGTTATGCGCATTTGCAATCAATTTGTGTACTCTTGTTAGGTGGCAATGTACTACATTTCTGCCTGTGTCTCAGTTGACGATCTTGTTGTTCGATTGCATATCTAATGAAGAGTCAATCTATTTCAACTTCCATGATCAGTGAGTTTGCAAGAAGATCTCGTGTGTCTATCTCAACCATTGTACTTCAATGTGTCGATCTCATTGAACCATTTCGACCTCATTCTGTGCATGCAGTGTGGTGTAGCTGTAGCTGAATACATTGCATGCGATCAAAACAACTGATATTTGTTTTCTATTCTCACGAATCTAGTGCCCTGAAATTTTAACCCGATTAAGACGGATTACTCGCATTAAATAATAAACTTGTGAGGATTGAAGAAATTATATCCTTCACCTGTGGACGTCGTAGATATCACAACCTTGTTTTGTTTATCCTGTCCATGATATGATTTTGCAAGTTAGCGGACATTCAAGTTAAACATCACCATTTTTTTACATAATCGCTATCAGTGCAATCCCCTCCTTTGAGACTTGAGTATCAAAAGCCCTTGATTAGCCTTTGAGGACCGCTTCCACGGTTAGGCTCCATTGATAACCTTTTCGGATTGTCGAATAGAATTGTATATTGTAGGAACTTGTGGTCTGTGCATATGGGAGGTTTACCAAATCAAGTATCGGACAACGATGTGATCTTGGTGGCAATCTTAGACCTGCGTATTTATCTGTGGGTACTCAACGCTTGTATAGGGAAGGAGCTGATTCGAAACCCAGAGACTTTACAGATGTTGCTGGAGGATACTGCTGCTGACGATAACGAGGAGGAAGAAATGGAAGCTGTGGAGGATTCTCAGGATGTATTAAATGACAATGACGAAGATCCTGTCGCAGATATTGAAGGTGCAGTAGTGCACAATATTTGTTGACATCGTAACCCCCACTCATTCCAGGATCTGTCTGTTCTTACATCTTTTGGACTCGCCATCGTCCAGCAGAGCTTCGGCAATTAGTTAACAAAATATTCTTACTCCTTAAGCTTATGCCGTGGGCAACTTTTGCTACAGGTGCTGAAAAGAAGGAAGAGATTACAGAATCCCTGGCCTCCAAACATCGCGAGGTAGAAGCGAAGGCAGAAGAAATGAAGGATCGCCCAAGGCAGGTCTCTAAAGAACGGGAACTGGGTGCAGAGCCTGGGAAGCCCTTGGAACAGATGCCTGGGGCGCAAATAAAACTGGACCAGATATCTGGAAAAACGAAGCCATTCTTGGATGCTGCGGACGACAATGCAGATCTGGCCAAGGTTGAGGTTCACTATGATCCTGTCAAAGAAGGTCCTCTAAATGCCTCCAATGGCAATGGTGATGTTGTAATGGAGGAATCAGGAGGACTAGCCAAAAAGGAATCTCCTCACGGGTTGCCGCATGAGACGGTTCCTCAGCCAGATCTAAACGCCGTCAAGTAATTGAGCTGCTTTTCAATTCCTCACTGAATGTATTCAAGTAGTTGAACACATCTGAATGCAGGTTTGATGCAAATGTTGAAGTAATGTTATGAAAGATTTTCTAGATTCCAAGTTGGTGGAATTGAGTGCAATATTGGCATCTGTCTATCTGTCTGTCCGTCCGTCTTAAAGAGGTACAAGACTTGTGTGTGGGTCGTGTCTAGCTTTTGGTACTGTTATCACGGTCGTCTATATTTCGTAGAAGTTATTCCTGCAAGCTGAAACAATGAAGAGCAAACTGCTTTTGATGCACATTCTATGCACTCGATCTCTATACTAGACTTGAGACCTTGAGTTCTAGGGGATTGCCATCATCTCACATCCTATCCAAGGTAACTGGGCCAGTGGGTTAGACTCTTTGCATGCCAGCAAGCTCATTGGTCGTGGAAATGTTTTAGCTGCACGGTTAACAAACATGCCATGGTATTGGAATTAAGCCCGGGATGCTATCCAGTCCTCTCACGTAGAGCAAGATTTGATCCTTGTCCATCAACAGAAGTTTCGATTATTGACCACATTATATCAAACTAACCGCCATTTCTGTTTGATATACACCGGTTTTGAGCTTCTTGTTGTGATTCATTGCATTGCAATGCAAATTGGTGGAGTTCAGGCAGTTAGTGTCTGCATCATGTAATTCAAAGCTCTTGGCAAAAGCTTTGGAGGGGTCAGTAGGGACCGCTAAGCAAGTTATCATCACACAATGCATTCGTTTTCCTAATAAAACTCATGTCTTTACATGATGAAAATCCAGATTGGTTTTCATTACAATAAAAAATAGACGCATCTTTCAAAGGGCGGATTATCGCATGTGTGACTGATTTTTATATTGCATCAAAAAATCACATTTCACATCCAACTTGGCACAGTGATTTTTTGTATGTATTGGACTGATGAACGTTTTTACTGCTTTTAAAATTCTGTCAATTGACTATTTATACTTGGTCAGAATCTTCCTATTTTGGATTTATAAACTATATATAAACTAAATATGTCTTTTTTTGAATAAAAAGATTTTGATTGTATTTAATTATTTTTTAATCAAAAGAAGTGCCTGTAGTGAAACACTATGAACAATATCTTTATCAGCAAAGCCAATCGGAGGGAACTGAATGGTCCAATTATTCGATTTTAAGAGAATGCATAAGCATGCATGGGACCTTTAATGGTAAATGAACATACGCAAGCCAGCATTACAGACTCCATCAAACCAGAATGGGAAATAGGAAATGTAGAGTCTAACTCATTAGGAGTATGTGTTGAAGAGAATGAGTCAATGAATGAACTTGCACATACCTCAAAGAATGAAACTTATGGATGTCGACAAAAATCATGCCACCAAATGCAAAGCTAGTGGTAGCCAAGTAGCCCACATCAACAGGCAGAAAATGGGTTGTTGGTGGGCCTTATCCAGTAACACAGCCACTGCTGCTGCAGCCATTTTGGTGAAGCACCCATTCTGCGGTTGTGACCTGCTGGAGTTGATACCTGGGGAGGATGCACCCCAGTCTTGGACTTAATACCCGGATGGAACCCATCCTCATCCTCTTCCTGCAGCTCCGCTCGGCTCAGCAGTAGTGCCTTTGAGCTCTCCCGCGACCCGCCGTAGTGTTGTTGGGTTCGCTCGCAATTTTGTTTTCTCGAAGAAGATTTGCGTCGTGAAATTTTGCTCGCAGCCATGACGACCTCGTTGGCAACCTCGTTCTGCGCTTCCACGGCGCCCCAGGCCCTTGCTTCGCGCCAGGCTCAGCTTTCCGGCACCTCCCTTGTCTGCTCGTCTAGCCCTCAGCCCTCTGTCTCCTTTGCCAGCCCTTTGCTGATGCAACCCCGTGCGAGTACGTTAATGTCCACAGCTTCCTCATTCCCGAGAGAGCTTTTCTTTAATTTGGGTTTTGGTTCATTCTTCGGAAGTGTGATTATGTTGATATGTGCGATGGAGGTAGTCGCCACATGTTTGTCGTGACACGGGGTTTCGGGAACCGGGAATGTGTCAGGTCGGCGGTGCGATTTGACAGGGAAGAAGGCTAACAATGGATACAAGGTCTCGTTCTCTAACCACAGGACGAAGCATTTGCAGCAACCCAACTTGCAGTACAAGCGGCTCTGGTGGGAGGAGGGCAAACGCTTCGTGAAGCTCCGCATTTCAACCAAGGCGCTGAAGACGATCGAGAAGAACGGCCTCCAAGCCATGGCGAGGAAGGCTGGTATCAATCTGGCTGACTACTAGGTCAGTGCCGACTTAAATTATTTTTTATCATCTATATGATGAAATTCATAGGATTTGCACCACAATTGAGCTTTTCCTCAAACACGAAATGCAAAAAGAAGGGTTCATATTCTTATCAGGGGAGAGTGAGTACGATGACGCTCGAGGCTGTACTGAAGTCTTCTTGTTTCAACTGGCTTATGATATCCTTTACAAATTCCACGTTTCAGCATGCTGTCAGGCCGATGTAATGCCCAGAGGTTGATTGCTATGAATCAGACGTGCCAGAAAAAAGGTTTTACAGTGCATGTTATTCAGGGGAAAATTTTCGGAAGCCTTTCTATGGTGGAGTTTATTGTGTCCAACGGCAATCTGATTTGTTAAATGTCATTATGAAGAACTTGTTTATTTGATGAGTGAAATGAACTAATTATTTATTCAAGTATACAGGTCGTGCCTGTCGTTTGTTCAGTGCTGTGTGTCTTCGATTCCAATTATAGTCTTTTGGATTGTATGTGTTTGATTTGTCTGGAGTTGTGAGGCAGAGCTTTAAATGTGAAATTCCCGCTCATGTATTGTGTTGTCTACTCTGAAAACTTGGATCCTTGTTTTGGATATGCACTGATGTCAACAACTATTGTAGGATGACGTGTACTCTCTCGAAGCTGTTTATTCAGTGATAATAATGCCTGAACCAACACTAACTTGTAGCTATTCAAGTTTTGATATGGATCACATTTCATTTAGGCTTGAATCAACTGTCTTTATTAGAATTGGCTTGTTTCTAACTTATTACATCTGACACCGTTTTATTTATTTATTTTTTTGCATACGCTAACCAACAACTTCTTCCGTTAGTGATTCTGCGTCTAAGCTTCAGCCACAGAAAATCACAGAAGCAAGATGATCATACATTTTCTTTCCTTTTCTTTTTTTTTTTGAATTCTTGTTTCTTCTGAACCAGAACAATGAGCAGGTTGTTCAACAGCAATGAACACTTCCCATGCGAAGGAACGGGATCTTCCACAGTTCCAAGTACTCGTGAATCAGATCTCTTTAGACTATTCTGGGTCACTCGCAACACCTAATTTTTTCTCTAGACAGTAGATAGTCCCCAGTTCAAGCTATTATCATCAAAGTGTTCATCATCGTACCAGAAGTTACAGATGACATCAGCAAGAAGGTTAGCACAAATTATTTTCTTTTGTATGATTAATTGAACTGTCTGCTGACTTTATGTAGAGTTTCTCCTTGATAAATCAACCATCTCTTTTTGGCGAAAAAGGTGACCCTTTTAAACATTTGAACAGATAATTGTTAAGTTTTATTTTGCAATGAGAGAATTCCATCTTATGCATCTTGAAGGTAATTTTGAATGACAGAATTTTATGTAAAGAGGGTAGATATCATTTTTTAAAAATTGGTATCTGTCTGTATGAACATTATAATCAAATCCATAAATTTCTAGCCTGTTCGAATACAGCTGGTAGCCTAAGAGAACACATGTTGAAAGAAACCTCCACATAAGTTGGTATTTAGAGGGAAGAGTTCTGCACAAGGGAAAAGTTGCCTTGGGAAGAATTTTACACAACTCGATCGAAATAGAGAAATAATGTTTACAATTGAAGGTCTTTAAATAGTTAGAGCTGCAACCAATAAACAAGAGTTGGTATTAAATCTGTGGCCTTGCATGTAGAGTGGGCTGCTCTAGCCAAATGTTCTAGTCTATGTGACACGAAACAAAGCGCTAAAATTAAAGAGTATTTTGTTATCAAAAGACTCAACCCCTTGCCATATAAACTATAATCTATTAGACAAATTCATCCACATTTAATGTACTTAAACGTAGTTTTTTTTATAGAAAATTATATGGTGTAAACAATTAATTGGTTTTTTTTGAACTGGTTTCTCATCATTTTATTTCTTAAATTTTGCAATATGAATATTTGAGATTGTCTACTTCCACTTATAACTGTTTTTAATAATCATATTTGCATATTTTACAATTATATATAGCTTAATCAAAATACACACCACAATAGACTCAAAAACAGTATTTTTCTTATTTTTCAAAATAAAATCACTGAATATATTTCATTTCGAATCATAATTTGATCAATAAGAAAATGTTTAGATGTAATAGTTTTTTCAATAAAAATTATATAATTAGGGAAAAAATGAAATATTATTTTGTTAGTAAATTTATGAACGAATGCTCAAACTAACAAAGTTATGAAAAGAAATTTTCTGTTCTTTTCTTTTTTTCAATGTAGTAATAACTAAACTATTAATTTAGCAAGGATGCTAACCACTGTAGTAAATTTCTACTCTTGAAACACAAATCCATTTAAGCATAGGTTGTGAAGTTATAATTTTATAAACAGATCTGATTAGTTGTCCCTCTGAAATACATGTAAACCTGATAACGTAACGTTTGATGTTTACCAACATAGTTTTACGAACCATTCTATAAACGAAAGAAGCGCAAGAGCAACTGTGAAAAAGAAGGATTGGCATCTCGGAGGTACCCATAACTCGAGATGGTCTTTGCTATGATGTAAGAAAATACAGAGCACTGGTCGAAGACTGCTCAAATGCAGACAGTGGCTTCCATCTCGAATCTGGACAACAAAACAAGGTTTCGGTGAACTTGAGAACTGATCGTGTTATTAGCATACCAAAGGTGAAAGCCATGTGGGTGTGTTTGTGTGTGAGGAACTTAAAATTTATGGGTAGAAATTTGCGGTGGTGTTCTCCAGATTGAACTGTAATATTCTCCAGATTGTTGTGGGGACCCTAGTATTCTTTGGTCTTTTCTTCGGTGATTGCACTGTGTCTAGACAATTGAGCTGTGATTAGATCGAGCCATTATTGAACAGAATCTTTTGAATGCACGAACATGCACCCGCATTTGGCTGGTTTTGCACCTGCCTATGCCAGTTGTTCTAAATTGGTCCACAAGGGCATTTGAATTTTCAGCCTGCTGACAACTGCAAAAGTGATCCAACCAGTGAAACTCCTGAGTTGTGATCCACGCAGTTCTGGAGAGTTTTGAGGAGGAGAACTGTTTGGCATTGGAATCTCGAATGGTGATTCAGTGTGCTTGGAGTAGTTGTGCGTAAGCTCCTATTAACTTATCACACGGTATCTCACGGTGGACCCGTAAGGGATTTTTGCAGTCATTCAGCGTGACGATGATAGAGAAGAAGAGTTGGAGCAATGCTGTATTCACTCCGTTCTCAGGGTTGTCTATCAAGTGTTGGTTTCCCTGTTGCAGGTGTGGCTCAAATTGCATTCTACATGCAGGATTCAACTCGACCCACACTCATTTTGCAACATCATGTTAAGAACAGCGGCCAGATTTTGTTAATACAGGCCTTGTCAAATCAATCTGCACTTTCTGCTGTATGTGCAAGTCTAAGCCATTGTCTTGTCTTGTCACAGAAAGTGATCATTTGCCAAGCTCTGGGTGATGTTATGGATAGTATGGTTCCCTTTTCTGTACTGATTATTAAGCTTATATTTGTGTAAAGAAACATTTGCAAAATGCTTTTCCATGATGCGAGTATTAGTTGAGAGAGCTTTTTTTCTTTTTCTTTTTGATTGAAAGCTGTGTTTCTTTTGGCACTCTCAAATTATTCGCAAGGCACTTTGAGATGAGAAGGATAAAAAAAATCATTAATTTATTTTGAATTTCTTTTAGATGGGAATTTCGCATGAAATTCTAAATATGAGTGTATATATATATATATATATATATTTATACATATTTGTAATCATACAATAGAATAACATATTATTCAAGAAGATGAATTTGTAAGGTTTTATTTATTTATTTTTTGTTATTTTACTTATGCTGGTCATAATTTATTTATTTTTCAATTATTTAATATGTTAAATGATCTCCTTATATGCTTGTGTTTCTGAGTATAGAATAAATGTCATAGTCTCAACGTGCAAATGTGGCTCCCTTCTTTTCCATTTGACAACTGTCACAACACACATTGTTAGTGTTATGAAAGTTTGAATTATAGACTTTCAGATGTATTTTATTATATTAAATATGATCTGGATTTTTTCTTATTCATGATTATACAACATATTTTAGTTCATTGATGTTGATTTTTTTGTTCTTTAGAAAGGGGGGGGGGAAAAAAAAAAGGGAAAGAAAGGAAGTTGAATGTTACATCTGAATATTTTTAAAACCAGTTTCGAAAACACACTTAGATAAATAAATAATTGTTGTACTCTTTCTTCTTTAAAAGGAATCACATTGTGGATAATGTTGACATTTCCATTTGTGGCCTTCAAGAAGCTCTCCTTCTCTCTTTCAACACACAGTATAAAATTAAGCACAACTATCCATTCAAATGGAATAAAATAATCTAACAAAATGGCAACTAGAAGTAATAATAATTTGTATTGAATTTCATAAGCTCATTATATTATATATTGTATTACCAAGTGGGGCTTATACTATTTTATATTTATACTATATTATGCTTGGTGGCCTATCGTGATCCAAACCTAAGCCACGCGCCAATACCATTTTGATCGTAATGCTCTCGTGGCGACACGTGGCTGAATCTAGAAGTCCTAGGGGATGGTTGGTTCCACGTGGTAGACGCTGGTAGGACAAGTCATCGAGGTCTGTTCACCTTGTTGCAAAATATCTATAGCCGTGTTCCCTTCTCATCACGTTCCCAATACGACGTTCTAGAAGCTCCCCTGCGTTCCCGAATGAGCTCAGACGCCTCCCTCACTGTGGACGGCCCGAGGTCGCCGCTCACCAGACATTCTCATCATCTGCAGGGTCCCCAATCACAGGACCTTCACGTTACCTGATTTTTGGTGTACTATTAGTTTCTTTAATTTATTTGTATTAAGAATATTTTACTTGAACCTCCTAGCTTTACATTAAAATTATAATTAGAACATGGATAACATAATTATGCTTGGTTTTTGGGCTTACATGATACAAATGTAAAGTAATGCAAAATAAAATGTCATATTTTGATTACTCCAAATAGTACATTTTCAACACTTTTCTACAAAAATATGTTTTTTCATGTATTTTTATAATTCAAATCACCCACTAGATAAGATAGGATCAAAAGATTATATAAGATCTTAAGAAAATAAAAAATACACTAAAAGCATATCTTTATAGTAGAAAAGATGCCAAAAGAATGTAAAAATTACCTACAATTATTGTATGTTAGAAGTGACAGATACTTTACTCCTTACTCTCTTTGTCTGAAACCTTGTTGATGCTATGTGTTGTGACTTTATTTTTTATTTTTATTTTTATTTTTTTAAATAGATTATGACACCACACACCTTTAATTGTGAATTTTGAAGTTCTTTGAAGTCTTTCTTGTTGTGAGAAGTTGTTAAGGATACAAATTGAAAGAAGTTGTATAAAGTTGTGGAATCTATGTCAAA